ACGTCATAGACGCCTGTCCCTCTGGGGCCTCCGGCACAAGCTTATTAATTAGATATTTTTTACGTGGTTTTGTGGTAATTAATTGAAGGTGGAGGGGTTATCAGGCCCTCGCACCCATCCAGAGTCCCCATTTAGCCGCTGTGGTGGTTACAAGCGCCATGAGGGGAAAGGCCAATTTAAATTGAGAGCGTTGACGTCCGGACCCATGAGGAGGTAGGGGGTTGTTTTTGCCGGGCAAACATCACCACCATCATCACCACCATCATCACCACCATCATCACCACCATCATCATCATCACCACCATCGTCATAACCATCACCACCATCATAACCATCATGACCAGCATCACCGGCATCATTTTAGCCACATTTACCACAACGACAATTTAACATCACAGCCAGTATGTGCGTTGAACTTCTTTCTCACCGTACGTAGCCAACCGTGCTAATCTCCACTGGAGATCACCGCACCGTTTGGCTACGGTAGACTTTTAGATGTGTTTCCATTGGGGGGGCGACCACAATGAGGGGGGAGAAATGGTCTCTCCATTTTGTGTCCGGTAGGTCGGCCAGGTCCCGGGAATGCAGCAGAGTGAGACGGGGAGAGTGAGACAGGGAGAGAGTGTGCGAGACAGAGAGATAGGGTGAGAGATTGTGCGTGTGAGAGACTCGGAGTAGGAGGAGTGGGGGATGCGAGAGAGCGTGAAAGAGAGCGCGAGAGAGAGAGGGAGCCGTTGATCTTGGCGAGTCTACTCGTTGGAGCCGTGCTCGCTCATCGATCCACTCAACATATTGCTGCCATCCCTCAACGCGCACCAGCCGCGCGTGTGACTTGCGGTGGTGAGGAGCGGGGGGGGGGGGGCAATGTTGGGGGAGGGGTGCACGGGAGTGAGCCATGTTGGGGGGGGGGGGTCGTGGCGGACCACCTCAATTACCTCCTGCGCTGTCCGACAGCAATTAAAAGGCCGTTAAGGTACACGAGGAGAGTCGTAATCGTCGCTCTCGTGGCCGGTTTTGATATGCGGTGGACATCAATGAGACAATGCGGTTAGGATGGGATGGAGGTGGGGGGGGTGGAGGTGGGGGGGTATGGAGGTGGGGGGAAGGTGGGTGGGATGGAGGTGGGGGGGGATGGAGGTGGGGGGGGATGGAGGTGGGGGGATGGAGGTGGGGGGGGGATGGAGGTGGGTGGGATGGAGGTAGGGGGGGATGGAGGTGGGTGGGATGGAGGTAGGGGGGGATGGAGGTGGGTGGGATGGAGGTAGGGGGGGATGGAGGTGGGGGGGATGGAGGTGGGGGGATGGAGGTGGGGGGGATGGAGGTGGGGGGGATGGAGGTGGGGGGGATGGAGGTGGGGGGAGATGGAGGTAGGGGGGATGGAGGTGGGGGGGGATGGAGGTGGGGGGGGGGATGGAGGTGGGGGGGGTGGAGGTGTTTCAGGCTCCACCAATTGGAAAACACCACCTGAGCAGCTTGTTAAGCTTCACGCTCGAGGCTGAAATGTCACGGAGGCTGCCCCCCACATGGGACCGAAGCTTTCTGTTAATGGACAAACGGCTCTTCTAAGTTACGGTTAGGTGCACCTTCACAGCGTGGCGCGCCACAACGACCCTCACCATTCACGAAGCCGAAACCACGAACCGACGCTCACCCCGTGCAACCCTCAAATCTTCACCACGCAGCAGCAGCAGCAACCGCCGCGATCTTTCACGAATCCAACACTCGTGGCCCGGCGGAGGCACCGTCGATCCGTGGGGCCCCCGGGGTGCAGTTGCACCGCCTGCGTCCCTCAATAGCTCCGCTAACCGGACTCCGCACCAGTCACTGAACCCCCCACCCCAACTCTCCACATCCCTGACCCTAACCCTGACCCCTTACCCCAACGCTAACCCCTTCGACCCAACACTCCTTCCCCTGCCCCCACCTCCGCGCGTGTTGTGTGCGGCCTGGGGTCCAATTACCTCGCTCTGAATAATGGATACTCCTGTTGTACCCCCCTCCAACCCCCCCAACTTCCACCACCACCACCCCCCCCTCCCTCCGCTAATGACGAGAGCTCCGCTCCATCACGCGGCGCGCTCGCGATGCTGATGTCGGACAGCCGCGAGACCTAATTTAAAGCCATTACCGCGCGACATCGCGCTCGTTTCAAATTAAATCAGGCATGAGATCCAAGCAGCACGGAAACGGACGGGAGGGAGGGTTGGAGGCGAGGGGGGAGGTCGATTATGTGTGGAGGAGCGAGTGGATGAAAGGAATGAGCGGATGAAAGGGTTAGCAGGAGGGTAACAATGGATGGAATGAAACAATGGATGGTGGGTGGGAATGGGTGGGTGAATGGGTGGATGTTTTGTCAGTGGATGTGTAGATGATTGTGTGGGTAAGTAGATTGGTGGCTGCATGGGTGGGTAGATGGGGGGGGTATATAGATCTATGAAATGAGTGGATCGGTATACATGTATGTACGGATGTATACACGCGTAGATAGGTGGATGGGTTACGGAAGGGTTGATGATTGAGTGGCTTGGCAGATGTGATGGGTGGATACGAGGTGAGGTATAGGTGAGGTGGGGTAGATGTACAGATGGGTGAGTGCATGGAATGCAGGAGTGAATGTGTTGATGCGATTGAGGCTGTCCGGGAAAAAGAAGTGTGGTGGACGGACTGCCGTGAACTTCCCTCCGTCTGCGTGACCATTGGGGTTCATCTGCTCGATGGTACATCGAGCGGTTTGCACATCATTTGCATGCACGGCGATGCGATTCTCACATGCACAATGCACGCACGTATCGCGAGTTTAAGAGCCGGTTTTAAATCGAGGGACCGGTATCGTTGCTAACAAGCGGTCGGTGGAAACGTGCCCGGATACGCCACACCGGCTCTTCCCGCGAACGCCAATCACGCGGAGTCTAGTGAGCGCCATTCAGAACGGTTCCTATTCCTAAACCGCGACGTCTCCGCGGAGGAAACGACAGGCGAGCGCGGGGGCGTGAGACGGCGTGCGTGCGCGCGGGTAAGCGTGCCGGGTAAGCGTGCCGGGTAAGCGTGCCGGGTAAGCGTGCCGGGTAAGCGTGCCGGGTTAGCGTGCCGGGTTAGCGTGCCGGGTTAGCGTGCCGGGTTAGCGTGCCGGGTAAGCGTGCCGGGTTAGCGTGCCGGGTAAGCGTGCCGGGTTAGCGTGCCGGGTAAGCGTGCCGGGTTAGCGTGCCGGGTTAGCGTGCCGGGTTAGCGTGCCGGGTAAGCGTGCCGGGTTAGCGTGCCGGGTAAGCGTGCCGGGTTAGCGTGCCGGGTTAGCGTGCCGGGTAAGCGTGCCGGGTAAGCGTGCCGGGTAAGCGTGCCGGGTTAGCGTGCCGGGTAAGCGTGCCGGGTTAGCGTGCCGGGTTAGCGTGCCGGGTAAGCGTGCCGGGTTAGCGTGCCGGGTAAGCGTGCCGGGTAAGCGTGCCGGGTTAGCGTGCCGGGTAAGCGTGCCGGGTTAGCGTGCCGGGTAAGCGTGCCGGGTTAGCGTGCCGGGTTAGCGTGCCGGGTAAGCGTGCCGGGTTAGCGTGCCGGGTAAGCGTGCCGGGTAAGCGTGCCGGGTTAGCGTGCCGGGTAAGCGTGCCGGGTTAGCGTGCCGGGTAAGCGTGCCGGGTTAGCGTGCCGGGTTAGCGTGCCGGGTAAGCGTGCCGGGTTAGCGTGCCGGGTAAGCGTGCCGGGTTAGCGTGCCGGGTAAGCGTGCCGGGTAAGCGTGCCGGGTTAGCGTGCCGGGTAAGCGTGCCGGGTTAGCGTGCCGGGTTAGCGTGCCGGGTTAGCGTGCCGGGTTAGCGTGCCGGGTTAGCGTGCCGGGTTAGCGTGCCGGGTTAGCGTGCCGGGTAAGCGTGCCGGGTTAGCGTGCCGGGTAAGCGTGCCGGGTTAGCGTGCCGGGTAAGCGTGCCGGGTTAGCGTGCCGGGTAAGCGTGCCGGGTTAGCGTGCCGGGTTAGCGTGCCGGGTAAGCGTGCCGGGTTAGCGTGCCGGGTAAGCGTGCCGGGTAAGCGTGCCGGGTTAGCGTGCCGGGTAAGCGTGCCGGGTTAGCGTGCCGGGTAAGCGTGCCGGGTTAGCGTGCCGGGTTAGCGTGCCGGGTAAGCGTGCCGGGTTAGCGTGCCGGGTAAGCGTGCCGGGTAAGCGTGCCGGGTTAGCGTGCCGGGTAAGCGTGCCGGGTTAGCGTGCCGGGTAAGCGTGCCGGGTTAGCGTGCCGGGTTAGCGTGCCGGGTAAGCGTGCCGGGTTAGCGTGCCGGGTAAGCGTGCCGGGTAAGCGTGCCGGGTTAGCGTGCCGGGTAAGCGTGCCGGGTTAGCGTGCCGGGTTAGCGTGCCGGGTTAGCGTGCCGGGTTAGCGTGCCGGGTAAGCGTGCCGGGTTAGCGTGCCGGGTTAGCGTGCCGGGTTAGCGTGCCGGGTAAGCGTGCCGGGTTAGCGTGCTGGGTTAGCGTGCCGGGTTAGCGCGCTGCGCGACTAACCCGAGGCAGTCCCCACCAACCCCAGTAAAGATTAGCCGAACTGGTCCTGGGCCTCCCCTAGGTCGACTCAGCCTCAAATGAGTACCTTGTGCGGTGTGTGAACATCGCCACTGTGGAGACAAAGGCGGCCGGGCGTGGTGTTGGCCACGCCACCCCCTCGTGTGTTGTGGCGGCCTTCGTAGGCGCCACTCGCCAACAGCACTTGCCCTGACAGTCTGTTAAAGGCTTGCACGGGGGAACTTTGCCTTTGTATCTGCGGACATGGGTCGCCGCAGGACGAAGCGGGTTTCACGCCTTCGCTTGTCCGGCTCCCCGCCGCCCAGCGGTGAGACGCCACACGCTTGACCTGGGAAATACTCGGGCGAGCAGCTGCTTCTCAGCGCTCAGGAGAACCCTGCTCGTGGATGTTTGGGCGCTAAATTAGATTTTGTTTTTGTTTGCGATCCTCCAAGCCAGACCAAAAAAAAAAAACACAATTTCTTTCTGGCGCCAACAATTTTCCACACTTTCAGCACAACACAAACCAGCTTCCAGCAGCATTTTCAAGTCAATTTTATTTTAATAGCGGGCGTCTGTATGATGGTGTCGCTAAACCAAGTCATTTCTTTTTTTACAGATCCAACCGTTTTTTTTAATGCCGTGACCAGAATATTTTCTATTGCATAATCATAGAATGTGAAAGGGCTAGATATTTGATTTTCCGAGTGGCAATTGCCATTTCCATTTGCAGATTTAATCCCTGCAGCAGAATTTGCAGATACTTTTGCGAGCCACACCACAACGTTGTACACGATGCTTCTGACAACGGAGCTGCTTGTGGCTGGTAGGGCTGGACAGATTTTGCGATAATCTTTCTCCGCTATAAAACTAATGCAAGTGAATGCATTCTATTGCGTCAGCTTTAACCAATAACTTCATTGAATTACAGGTTTATTTTCTATATATATTACTGTGGTTCTTCCGAGACGTCTGCCCAGCTTGGCAGGGAATGCAAAACACCTTCTTGGTGGCGCTCTCCCAAGAGCTCCCTCTAACGGAGCGCAAGCAAACCAATTATTGCAGCGCTGCTTCTTTACCTTTTTACCCTCTACGGCATCTGAGATTTCCGCAGCCGCCGCGGGTAAATCGGACAAGCGTGGTCCCCTGCGGGCGGGCGGGCGGGCAGAGCGGAGTGGAGCGGTCACCGACTCCCCCATCAGTAGTCCCTCTGCATTTGCCTCATGAGGCCCTTCTGGGCTCCCTGGTGGACGTGGGTCTCCAGTTTCCCTGCGACACAGATTTCAAACGCCCGTGAGCACCGCACGGCGAAAAAAAACCACGTCGGCAGGGGGACGAAACGTTGCCGGTCCCGCCGGGATCTGCACGCTTGTTCACTCGGTCCGTCTTCGTGGGGGGGGGGGGGGTGGGGCGTGACATTAACCGACGATGTGAGAACACACACACGGTTTCTTTTTTCAAATTTAATAAGCGTCGACCACATTGAACGGTGAATTAATACGGTCGCAAATGCCAATAAGGGCGAGTAAAAACACACACGTGCTATTTCAAATTATAAATCTATGAAAATAGAATTATAACATTGGGGCAAGGAAAGTAGAGGTGGCGGAACACATTGCACAACATATGATGAAAAGTAAATCGAATGGCTTAGGAAGTTAAAGAAAACGTGACAGTCAATCAAAACATGACTGTCCTGACTGACTGTTCTGATTGACAAAGTCCGATGTCCCGATTGACTGTTGCTATGGTTCCCGATATCCACCCCCGAAAACAAATGAACGCATTTGTTTTTAAATATTGCGACAACTGCAGCTTGATATTCTTGGTTCTTTCGGTCAAGTCACGTAGAAGGGAAACAATAAAATAATAAAAAAAAATTCTATTTTTATTATGCCATATTTATATTTTTATTATTTTATTGTTTCCCTTCTACGTTACTTTACCGAAAGAACCAAGAATATGAATCCCTGCAGCCACGAAAGCTTTAAATCAAAATTTAACTGCAGCTTGGGTTGTGAAACGTTAAAGAGGCTGTGATCCCGAAGCCAACAATGTCCGTCAGCGAAACGTCTCAAACAAAGAGCACGCAGTCAACACAAGGGCTGAGAGAGTGAGACACTCAGACTCTGAGACATAACCGCCATGCAGACACACAGGTAGACACAGGGACTAGATGCAGTCAACACAAGGGCTGAGAGGTCACTCCCACTGAGACTCAGTGACATAAACACACAACAGTCACGTAGACACACTCACGCAGATACATACATACAGTTAGATGTGCAAACGTGCGGTCTTTAACGGTCAATGTAACGTTGAGGGGGATAACTGTGGAATTAACGACAGGCTAATTCACAACACGCTAACGGAGTTGTGAGAAACGCCGAGGTGCGACTGCCATAGTCGTCCGAGAGGAGTCGCCGGGGGGGGGGGGGGGGGGGGGGGGGGGGTGCAGGGGCGGACTCACAGATTTTGTGGCGTCCCTTGATGGGGACCTTGACAAGCAGCTCCTGCGGGCGCTCGCACACGAAGACGAATGGAGACCCCGACTCCCCCTCGGGAAACTGGGAGTTACGATCGTAGGGGAGGGGGGGGGAGATTGGGGGTGGTGGGGGGGGGGGCGAAGTAAGGAAATGTGGAATCTCGCTGCGGTGGTGTTGGCGGTTATGCTGCACGGCTCTCCGTTGTGTCATCTCCGGTTGTGGCGATCGCCGTTCGGCACGCTGGGCGACGTTTTGCCCCGCGCGCCTGGGAGCTTTTTCTCAAAATGAACGCGAATCGGGTATCCCGAAGAAGCTCCCCCCGCACGCGGGGCGAAACGTCGGACGCCGTGCCGATCAACGTGCGACAATGCGACCCGAAAGCAGGCGAGGGCGCTGAGCAGTCGAACCTCCTGCAGGAGACTCCTCTGCCTCGCGCGGGCTCGTGCGTGCCAAAAATGGAAATCAACATAAAGGACGAGCACCGACGTTCTCAATGTCACTCACAAGCAAACGAGGCGCGTATTTATTTTTTTGCATTCGTGCCGCGTTCAATCCGAAATCGCATTGTGGAAAATTGCACCACTTGGTTTACCTTTGCGTACGTTTGTTTGGGGGAAGCTACCGAACGGTGTGGGACGTGGGAGTGTGCAGTGTGAGCTCCGTTCCAGTGGAGACCGGAATACCGGGTTGTACGCCACTCTGGCAGTTCCGCGCGAGTTGCTTTTAAGCGTCGCCTCGAGGCCACTCGTTTAGCTCAAATGCAACCCAGGCCAACGGTGCTCACTTCTAACCTATCTGGCACTGGCAGCCAAAGGAGGAAAAAAAAAATCTCCACCGTTCGCGACATTATGCGTGCCACAGCCTCGCGGCGATCCTCACGAGACCGCGAAAACATTCTGCCGTCGAGCTGAAAACACGACAGACTGCTGCACGCGGACACTTTAAAACGGCCACGAGCCGTTGCTACGCCTCGCCGGTCGCGACCCACAGGGACGTCGATTAAAGCGCTAAATGACTCGTTTCCTATCGCGTGGGAAGGCACCGCCTGCCCGTCTGCCCGTCTGCCCGCCCGCCCACGTCCCCCACAAGCGCGCGAGCCGCGACCTGAAACCCGATCTCCTGGAACGCGGCCTCGGGCAACGCAACAGTCCCTCCTCTCCCCACCCCCCACCCCCCTCCCCCGTAGCGAGCGAGCGCCACCTGCTCTCGGTACTGCTCCTGCGGGAGGCAGTCGATGACGTCCACGCAGCCCAGGAGGCAGGCCGTCGGGTAATCGGCGGGGAACTCCACTCGCTCGCCTGGGGCGGGCGACGGGGGTGGGGGGTTGGGGAGGGGCGGGGGGTGACAAACAGGGGTGGGCAGGATGGCGCGCGAGTGGGTTGACTGGTGGGCGGGGTGACGCGCGGGTGGGTGGGTGGTTTGACGGGATGGCGTGTGGGTGGGTGGGCGGGATGGCGCGGACGGGTGGGTGGATTGACAGGATGGCGCGTGCGTGGGTGGGTGGGCGGGATGGCACGTGGGTGGGTGAGCAGAGGGTGGAAGAGGGAACGGGGAGAGACAGACGCGAGGAGGTGTGGACGGGAGGCAGAGCGCGAGAGAAGGCGTGAGCGGTGACATTGCGATGAGAGTGTGAGCGTGTGCACTGTGCTTGTGAGCTAAGCAATAGGAAGGATAACTGGAACTCAAAGGGGCAGTACATTGTTTAGATGACTGACAAACTATTGCAATTTCATATAATAATAATAATAATAGGGTTTTTCCCCTTTTTTCTGGCAACAAAACTGAAACCTTTTTACAAGGATTCATGCCTGCATTAACCACAACACCTGCAGTCAAAATACAAACAAAAAACATACTATGATAATATATGCATTGTCCTTGAAACTGATTGGTGTGGACCAATCAGTTTCAAGGACAATGCATATATTATTATTACATTTTGGTACTGGCAAAGGAGGCCTAGTGATGATATTGCAATTTCAGTGATTGCTCACAAGATGATTTAATTAAATGTCTAAAACCTACCGTCTTTAAAAACAACGAAGTAAACCAAATTGTCAATTTCATTCATGACACTTAATCGAGCAGAATGCACGCGATTTATGTCGTGAATTGCTTTACAGTAAAATAAAGTCCAAAGCAACGATATCAACAACGCATGCCGGGGCGACCTTTTGACTTGCGACCCATCTCCCGACTAAAATGGGGTGCGGACTCATCGACTCATCCCTGCTGTTAGGGACCCTGAACCGACAGTGGATATTCCACAGTGCCTTGAGAGGGGCCAGTCTATCCAGACATCCGCCACACTTTAGTCCAGCGAGCGGCAAGCGGGAGCCCACTGTACAGGGCGAGGTTTTGTGTGCCGTGACGATCGATGGGCGGTGTTGGCGGCGCCGGCGTTCGCACCGTGCTTGAGGGTGCGGTGCGTCTCCTCCACCTCGGCGACCTCCTGCGACGTCGGCTGCTTTGAGCCGGCGGCAATCCAGAGCCGGCCACGGTGCGACGTGTACCACGTGCGGCCCTCGCTCCTGCAAAGACAAAGGTCCCGCGTGTAGCCTGTAACGAACCGATGGTGGGCCAAGCGCCGTTAGAGAGTCGCACCTGTGAAGGCTGGCACGGCGCACGAGGGGGTGGGTGGTCAGTGGCGTGATTGCACGTCGCACCAGGTACTCATTTGAAGTCGACCTAGGGGATGCCCAGGACGACCGGTTCAGATAATCGTCACGGGTGTTGGCCGCCAGCAGAAATCGAACTCGGGTTGGCGAGTTTGTAGCGCAGTGCCCTAACCGATACACTACCACTCCTAAACGCTCACACAAGACACAGGCTGTTGGTGCACGTGCCATCAGCGAGCACTTTATGTAGGCCGGCACGGTGCACGAGGGGTTGGTGTGGCTCAACACCAAGCCTGGCCATCTTAGTCTCCCACCAGTGCTGATAGTTACACACCGCAGAAGGTTGCGGTTAGTGCACCACACTAACAAACGATGTAACCGGAGCGTCATTTCCGGCCGCGATAACATCGGAGCTGTGCGATACGTGAACCGTTTACCGCCAGGGCCACCCAACCCTTCACCAACCCTCATCGCTGATAGAGCAAGGGGAGGCCTTCACCACCCAGCAGTGGAATCACAAAGGGGCTGTGAATTACCACGTAGGCTGCGAGCCGTGGGCTCACGACACGAGACGCCATCGGCACTTGACGGTGCTCCGTAAGCGTTCGTGATGGATGCGTTTTACGACTTCTCGTCAAAATCAAAGAGCATCGTCCGCATTCGTGTGCATGCACAGAGATGCTAGGGGTGGGGGGGAAGGGGTGGGGAGCTGCCCTGCCGTTTCCTGCCCCCACCCTGACCCCCGACCCCCAGCTCTCAGCTGCCCCTCACTTCTTGATGCCCTTGACGAGCAGAGAGGCCCAGGGCTGGTGCATGCTCAGGCACATCCCCGAGTCCGACATTTCCATCAGCTCCCGATCCTGGATCCGGATCCGGCTCCGCTCCGGGTCCGCCTGCGTCCCGGGCGCACGCCCGCCGCCCGCCGCCACGGGGTCCTTCCGGCGGGCTTTGCCGCCGTCCCTTCCCCCCCTCTCATCCTCCTGCACCCACTGGGCAATGGGGGCGGGGGGGGAGGGGAGCGCTCGCGTTACAGGAGGATCTCGGGGATGCAACGTGGACACGACAGCCAAGCTGGCTCAGCACTCGGTCGACGGTGATGTCCTTCGTCAGACGGGGAAGGGGGGGGCAAAGTCATCCGTGTTCAAGGAGAGTTCGCTGCATCACGAGAGATAATTTCCATTGCGATTAATCTCAGATTACACGATACGTAATATTGAAGAAAGGAAGGCGTCAGCTTCGTGTGCCATTCGACTTTTTGACGGCCGTACGAGCAGATCTCATCACTCCCCGGGCGTCCTCTCGGTCGCGCTACCTTCGTTCGGGGCCACGCGCTCTCTTTTCCAAATCGCACAGAACGCACCCAACGTCGCCATAACTCGGAAGCCAAGCAGGGATTAAGGCCTGGATACAGCCGAGTGACCACCACACACGCCGGGTCGCCAAAGGCAGCAGCGGGGCTGTGCTGCGTGGTGGGGTCAGCAGAGGTTGGTGCGGCATTGTCCAAAGTGGTGAAGTATGGACGACTCCGACAGGCACGCAAATGTGTGGGAGCGAGGGGGAGCGGCCACGCCGGTTGCGGATGGCGGTCCACGGAGCAGCAGCAGCAGTAGCAGCAGCAGTAGCAGCAGCAGCAGCAGCAGTAGCAGCTGCAGCAGCAGTAGCAGCAGCAGTAGCAGGAGCAGCAGCAGCAGCAGTAGCAGCAGCAGTCCGAGCAGCCTCACCACGGGCGCTGGCTGGCAGATGTTGGGGTTGACGAGTTCTCCGAGCGGGGGGTCGTCGCGCGGGGCGCCCACCTGCCCCTTGGGGCGCCCCGCTCGGCCGTGGCTGACTTCCTGCACCACGGCGTCCTCCCTGCGGGGGAGGTGGCGCGACGCCGGCGGTGGCGGCCGGGGAGGGGGGCGGGGGGGAGGGTGAAGGCAAACGTCTCAAGGTCGTCGGGGCAAACGCAGTTAACGCCACCCGCACCTCGCCGATGCTTCCTTCCGTCTGCCACATCCCGCGGCCGCTTCACGGCCGACGCCCATCCTTCCTTCAAGGCCCACGAGTAACGGTCACCACCGCCGCCTGCCTCCGGGGCCCTCCGTTGTTGCGGAGTCGACGCCGTCCTACCCGAGGACTCGTCACCGCCGCCATCTGGCTTGAGCTCTTCCGCTCGGTTACCCACTCCTGGGTGCCACTCCTCGGCAATTTCTGTTTGGCAGTGATGGATCGTGGCCGATGATCGTAAAGTGCAACGCCTGTACCCGTCTCGGTAACCCTGCCCTTCTCCATTCTTCGCACATGCCCCACCCACCGCAACCTGCTTTTCAGTCATGCCTAATATACCTTCCTGGCATGCTCCATGCCAAATGTGCAAGCTGCCTGTGCTATCCTGCCATTACACCCCGAGCATCCTACACACAAATCTCGATTCGAAGGCCAAGAGCTTCACTTGGAGTTACATCATCCAAGTCCTACCGTGGCCGTTCAAGACTTTGTTTTCGCTCTAATCCAAACCTCGCCCTAATTTGCCAATAACGAACTCAAAACCAACCCATAAAGCAGTGATGATCTCTGGTTGATGGCGTTTGTCTTTGCTAAGCCATACAGGGGAAGAGAACTTGCAAGCGACCTTACAAGAGAAGTAAGAAACACAAATTAGTGAACTTTAACATTCACTCATCATTCACCACCCTCTGTGCATGCGAGTTGATTTGACTGCTCCATCGCCATGGAGGAGTTAACTTCTGGTGTGTCCTACTTTGGCCGTCACTGGATGGCGAGTCCAGACCACCGACTATCGTCCCCTCGTCCTGTTAAAGCCCCACTCACTTAAGAATCGTATAGTTTGCACACAGGAATGCGCCGCTAAGCGGACCATGCCGGGCGCTCACGAGAACAACTCTTCCCACAATGCAACGTGCCAGCAATATTACTTATTGTAAGGGGTTGTCTGTTACTCAGTGGCTACTATTGGGCAACTATTCATAAGCCAATAAAAACAAATTGGTTATCAGAAATGTTTTTAATGGTTTCATTCTCCCCAGGCCCCATGGCGTAAACTGCACTCCGCGAATCTTATCCACCCCGTCTCTTTGGCCTCTCGAGGTGGTATGAAGAAGGGTCATTTCCCGAAACGTTGCCTATCATCTACTCTCCCTTTGAAGGCCACAGTATTATTGACGAATGTGTTGCGTTTTCTTCAATATACACACAGGGTGTTTCCCAGGCTTAATAGTTTTGAGTGTTGTAAAAAATATGTTCTTGGAGTGACACCTAGTGGTATTTGGCTCAACATGCAGCAATTGTAATGGCTACAAATCGTGTGCAGACACACGATTTGTCTATGCGTGTGCGCGAGTTTATACGGGTTGTATAAACTCTCATTAACAGGCTGAAACAATATATCGGGTATCACAGAGCTGGGGAAATTGTGGAAGTTGGCCAACCTGCATGAGTTTGCAGTCCTGAAACATTTTAAAAATGATAGCCCCTTGTGAACAAAGAATAAATTAAACATACATCGACTAAGCGTCAACAAAACAACAAGTTTGAGGGTCGCAAGGCGAGGGGGCTATCGTCCGCCCATCGCCACCCCCATTGGATCCGCCACTGTGGCTGAGATCGTGTACGTGCTGGTGCGTGCGCGCGTACGTAGGTACGTGCGTGTGTGCTCGTGCGTGTTTGTGCGTGTGTGCATGCGTGTTTGTGTGCTCGTGTGTGCTCGTGCGTGTTTGTGCGTGTTTGTGCGTGCTCGTGCGTGTGCGCGGCCGCACCGGTCGTAGACGTTGACGGGCGAGTCGTCCTCCGTGATGCGTCGCCCCGCAAAGTCGAACGTCACCTTGAGCTGCGTGCGCGACGCGTGGCGCGCCTCCCGCAGCTCCTCCTCGCGCCGCCGCAGCTTCTCGCGCTCCTCCGCGCTCAGCCACTGGTTCGAGTCCGTGGCGAAGTAGTCGGACTCGTCGTCGATCACCTGCGTGCGGCGCACGCTGCAACGCGCGGGACCAACGACAACGACGCCCGATATCAGGTGGTGAGGCGCGGTGGTGGTGGTGGTGGCGGTGCGGGTGGTGGTGCGAGTGCTGCCCACCTGTTCTTGTCGTACTCTAGCAGCTTGTCGCGGTGCTGCTGCGCCTGCTCCAGGCCTTCCCGGCAGCGCGCCTCCTCGCCTGGTAGCAGCTCTCGCCCGTGGTCTGCCGGGACGCCCGGCCGCGGAGAGGTCGCGCGCCACGCACGACCCACGGCCAGTTGGTCAGGGAATGGGGTTTGGGTCCTCACCAGTTTGCAGTAATTACAGGTTAACAATAATGTTTATGATTCAAATCCTTTGTTTTTCTAAAGCACGTTAGCTGTAGCTCTAGAGCTTGTGCTTTTTGTAAGGTCGTCGAGCGCTTTGTAAGGTTGATATTATTACGATAACCAATGCCTTGCCTTTAACCAAACTACCCAGAGTGAGGCCAATCTACTCAGATCTCGGGAGCTAGGCAGGGCTGAGCCTGGATAGCGCTTGGATGGGTGAGCCCCACGCACAAACAGGCTGTCATATGCGCCTGCCATGCTACGTTGTGTACGGGCAGCAAAGGGCAGTGCCGCAAAAACGGCATCGCTCAACTGAACTTCTACACTCCCACATCCATCCTCTCCGCCTTCACCAACCGGCATTGACCAGCACGGTGAAGTATGGTCAAACGACTGCAATGACCCATGAGATGGTGTGGAAGGGCTCTGATACAGCAGCGGATAGAGAAAAGCGCCGCTTCCGTGACCGCTTTTATTACCGATGCCTCACGGATGTCGCCCTGACCATATTTCCCAACTTCATGCATGGCGTACTGAGATCCCTGGATGACTTGCGCCTTATAAGTGTAAACTATTATTATTTGATCGGTGTTCCACCGACCGTTTGGGTTGCCAACGAGACCTTGTTTTGAAGTCCCTTGCACATGGCCCCCCCCCTTTCCCAACCCCACACACAGGCCCAAAAACCGAACGTCTCAGCGGTGGGTGCTGCCTAAAAGCGTTCTGACAAGGGGCAGGCACCCCTTCCGAGCCACGTGACCACCCCGCCAAGTTCGCCTGTGCCACAATTCCTCGCGTTCTTTTGCCGTTTCGAGACACTCCGGTCTACGTTATAAACCGGCTGGTGGCAGTAGCAGCGGGGGCGGCAGTGGCAGCAGCAGTGGTAGTGACAGCAGTGGCAGCAGCAGTGGTAGTGACAGCAGTGGCAGCAGTAGTAGCAGCAGCGGTGGCTAGCAGCAGTGGAGGCAGCGGCAGTAGCAGCATTGGCAGCAGTAATAGCAGCAGCAGTGGTAGTGACAGCAGTGGCAGCAGTGGTAGTGACAGCATTGGCTGCAGTAATAGCAGCAGCAGTGGCAGCAGTGGTAGTGACAGCATTGGCAGCAGTGGTAGTGACAGCAGTGGCAGCAGTGGTAGTGACAGCATTGGCAGCAGTAATAGCAGCAGCAGTGGCAGCAGTGGTAGTGACAGCATTGGCAGCAGTGGTAGTGACAGCAGTGGCAGCAGTGGTAGTGACAGCATTGGCAGCAGTAATAGCAGCAGCAGTGGCAGCAGTGGTAGTGACAGCATTGGCAGCAGTAATAGCAGCAGCAGTGGCAGCGGAGGCGGCAGCTGCAGTGGCAGCGGCAGAAGTGGCCGCAGTGGCAGCAGCGGCGGTGGCAGCAGCGGCAGCTTATCTCGCGTTTCGCTTTCGTCGACGGGGCGAGAGAAACGGCGCGTTTGGGAAACGCGGTGCGTTCAGGAAGCAAGCGGTACCGGTCATCAGCTTCTTGAGGAGCTTGTCGCTCTTGTTGGATTTCCGCGACAGCACCTCTTGCTCCTCTTTCGTGCACACCTGGCGGCGGCCGCACAGAACGGACGGACAGAGGGACAGCTTAGCGGAGTGTTCTGAACGTCGTGCGCGCCTTCAAGATGTTTGGGAAAGTGGCAACTTCAGAGCGGCGCTGATGACGTGGGCGGCGGCAACGGCAGCAGCAGGAGACCTCCGGATGGCTGAATCCGTTGCTGCGCTGTACTTTTCTTCGACGTACACGGCGCTTCCCACCTACCCCCACTCGGAATGACCGGAGTGGTAAAGTATGGTCGAATAACCCCCTGCCACCTGCACGGCGTGGGGAGGCCCTCGTCCGGCAATGGATTGGCATAAAGGGCTGTATAAGTGCAACTCTGAAGCATTATTCCGTGAAATAAGCTCACGGTAGATTATTTTATGATGTTTACACCGCACGTGAAATCAGTTGGCCCTGGTGGCCCGGTTATCATCTTTGTGGTCGTGATGGATTCCTTCTGCTACTAACTGGCAATCCTACAGAACAGTCCACATCACTTCACATGCTCTACACGGTCAAACATAATGTGCGCTCACCTTAACAACCATAGCAATCGTATTTTAAGACTAAACCTTAACCACATTGCTAACTGTAAGGCAAACCCAAGCCTTATTCAGAACCCCGACAACTAAAACCCAACACGAACCCGAATAGCAGCTCTCATCCTAACTCCAGCACTCATCATAAACCTCACGTTGAGCCTTATCATAACTCTCACCTGAACCAAAATTTGAACCATTACACGAACTCTAATTGTAATTTTACGATACCGCCAACAACCATAACCAGACCACTTACCCCTAATCCCCATTGTGACCCTCACGATTACCCTAAACGTAACTCGAACCTTAGCCATGATTTACACCATAACACCATTAACTCTAACCCCCAACCCTAATCCTAACCGCAACTATAACCAAACACTAAACCCAACCTCTACCTCTTCCCCAACAACACCGACGGGAACTCTCTCCCACGAATCCCCGTTGCTGACCCGCTCGCTCACTCGCTCGCACCCTCACACGCTCTGGCTCGCACTCACCAGGTTCCCGCAGAAGAGGCAGGGCCCCGAGGCCTCCTGCTCGCACACGATGCGGCCGCACGACAGGCAGTTGTTGACGAGGCCGTGCTTCTGGGCCAGACAGTCACAGGGGTGGCGTCCGGGCAGGCGCACGGTCAGGCGGTCCTCGCCCGCCTTTGTGTACAGGGACACGAACTTTGCCGATTTCTTCTTGCCGGCGGTGGCCGCAGCCTCCTCCTGCTGCTGCTGCTGCAGCTGCGCACGTCAAACGATGAAAATTGAATTCGGCGACAAGACGACTCACGGGTTTGCACGCACAATCGGCGGTGGACGCCGTTTTATTCATTTATTTAACTTATTCAACAATATCCGGCCGGGTGGCTGTAGGCGGCAGAGCGAGCGACTCGCGGTCGGAGTTCAACTCCTGGTGGCGGGCACTGACTCAGTCCAACGTGTGGCTGGGCTCGTTGAAATGAGTACTGCTTTGAAAGTTGACAGTGGTCGTCCTTTGGATAGACTCGCCCCCACCATAGAAATGTACTATTTCCACCACTACCTTACGGCTGTAGAAAGCAGATGAGAACCAACGTCTCGATGCACTTTTGGGAAGGAAACAACTCTGGAGAATTTATCAACAATAAATAATTTAGAGAACAACAAAAACAATCATTGTCCGCGTCATTCCTTGCTACATTCCCGAGGGCAATGGACGAACAAAAGAATAGAAAAATGCAAAAGCAAAATGTAACTCAAGCAACAGGGGCCCCAATCGCAAAGATCCCATTGATTATCTGAAGAAGCGGAAGCCGACGCCAATCAGCCGTCACGACGAGCGATCCAATGTCCCGTCGCGGATCGACAACTTACGAACGGTAAAATGCGACCGCCTTTAGAAAGCACCGGCAACTTCGGTCAGGTTAACCTCCAACTCGTGTGCCAAGTCAGTACGCCTACAGGACCCTCCTGATATTTGTCTCAACAAACACTGTAGGTATGCAAGGCCCGCGTAGCTAGCGTGGATGAGTAGGCCAAGCACCCGCTCTCTGGAGTGGCTGTCTAGAAGCTCCCTCTAGCGGAGACCCCTTCTGCTAGCAGTGGCGTGGTCAGGCACTTGCAAGGCTGCGCCTTTTACATTTTACAACAAAGCAGCTGTTTTTTTTTTTGTTACTATGGGCAGATTCATAACAAAGGTTTTTGTGTGAGATCGCGCAAATATAAATGTGTTGTTAAACCCGCGACCACCCGACACAGCCAACCAGTAAGGGTTGTCACGTAAACAATCCGTGGCAATTAGTTACCAGTTCAGCCCACCGGCGTGTTGAATAATACTGGTCGCAAGAAAAGCCCACATGGTGATCCGGCTCTCGGCAGGTGTTTACATCCCTCTCCTGAAACGAAGGCACGAGGATGCCTTCTCGTTCATTATCCAATGTACGTAACCAATGCCTTCCTTTCGTAGAAAAAAAAAATGACTTGGAACAAGGTACAAGGTTAAAAACGAATATTTAAGGCGGCGCGGCATTCCCCACGGTGTCAAAGTTATGAGGCCACGTGCTATAACATCCCGCGAGTGGCCACCAGAGGGCACTCGCGGGACGCGCGTCGGACCACGCACGGCAATGGAACGCGCCGGATCCGCGAACGGCAGCCTGAATGTGGGGGGGGGGGGGAGTAAAAAAAAAGCCACTTATAATTTTTATCACGCGATACACACTCGTGTCCCCGGATTAAATCTCAAACGTGGATTTCAAAATGACCCGCGTCAAAGTGAGGTCCCACCGAGATTTGAACTCGGATCGCTGGATTCAAAGTCCAGAGTGCTAACCATTACACCATGGGACCGCCCAGGAAATGCCAGGGAGCTACGTGGCTAAAGACCTCAAGGCCGCTCGCGCGACTGTCGCTGTTTTATTATTTAATTAGTGATGCTGCAGCACTGGCGGGGGTCGTACCCTACCACACACAACTACACCACAAACTCAACACATTTGTCAACACTGTGGCTTTAAAAAAGAAAACGTATATGGAAGGCAACGTTATATGCAATGAACCTTCTTTTCAGCATTTGGTACAAACTCGACCTCTCTGGCCTCTCCGTGTGCTGCGCAGAAGGGCCATGGCCCGAAACGTCGGTTATTTAAAAAAATATATTTTTTCTGTTTGAGGCCACTGTTATTGACACACGTATTGAGTATTTTTGTGTATAATATTCACACTGAATTAGCAAATCCTGACACCCCGCTTGTTTGGGGCATCCAAATGCTTCTGGATTGAACTACTTTACGAGTTAAATATTTATAAAAACACAAAACAAATTATCAAAAGATGCATACGTATTTATCCAACAGTCATTACGCGTGTTAAAAACTAAATCACTTTGAAATGTATTTGTTTTGGGTACCGAACAAAGTGCTGTAATATCTATGTTTGCACGCCCAGATATCCCCCATGAACAGCTCTTTTTACTGGTAGAAACCTCCTGGTTACACCAGCCCACAGCGGATTATTGTGTCCGTCCGTCGTGCATCTAAAAATGGGAGGGGTGGGGCTGGGTGGAGAGGGGAGGGTGGGGAGGGGCTGGGTGGGGAGGGGAGGGTGGGGAGGGTGGGGAGGGTGGGGAGGGGAGGGGAGGGTGGGGAGGGTGGGTAGGGGCTGGGTGGGGAGGGTGGGGAGGGGCTGGGTGGGGAGGGTGGGGAGGGGCTGGGTGGGGAGGGTGGGGAGGGGCTGGGTGGGGGGTGGGAGGGTGGGGAGGGGCTGGGTGGGGAGGGGAGGATGGGGAGGGGCTGGGTGGGGAGGGTGGGGCTGGGTGGGGAGGGGAAGGTGGGAAGGGTGGGGAGGGGCTGGGTGGGGAGGGTGGGGCTGGGTGGAGGGTGGGAGGGGTGGGGCTGGGTGGGGAGGGGCTGGTCACCCCGTGGTGCCCTTATAAAACTCAACGTTTAACCTACTCACGCCGGCTTGTGCCCGCCCTCAAAGTCGGGCATATTTGCGGAATACACCACGCCGCCGTTGACCCTGGCCATTTACCGAGCAACCCAACGTTCCTACCAGCTCCTTCTGCAGGAATGTGTTTGTCAATCCATTGCTGGATGACAGCCTCCGCACGCCTGTGCAAAATATGGGGGTTGATTGAATATACTTCACGGCACTGGTCCATACGGGTTGAAGGTGGAAGGAGCATAGACAATTATTTTGCTACAATGCCCTGTTCTAAATGTGGTGAGGAGGCCTTGGTCCAGTAGTGGCTGACACACGGGCGCGCTATTCGTTTGTAAACATCTCACGAGCCACCGGTGCTATCCGGATGCTGCTCACCTTGGCCAAGTCGGCGGGCGTCTTGACCTGGCTCTCTGGGGTCACCTCTTCGGGAACCAGGCTATGCAGCTCCACCTTGTTCCTCCCCTTCTTCTTCCCCTTCTTCTGCTGCTCCCTGCCTGGCGGCTGCTCCTGCACCTCTGCACCGTGCCGACATCAGTGACATGCGAGACTTTGGTATAATTCAACTCTCTCTGCAGGAGAGTGCACTCTCCTGTACGATTAGCACGATGGCACCCTGGAAAATATTAAGGGAAATAACAATGAATCATATTCTTGGTTCTTTCGGTAAAGTCACGTAGAAGAGAAACAATAAAAAAATAAAAATATTGTTTTTTTTTAGTAATAAAAATATTGTTCTATATTTTTATTATTTTATTGTTTCCCTTCTACGTGGTGACTTTACCGAAAGAACCAAGAATATGAATCCCTGCAGTCACGAAAGCTTTAAATCAAAACAATGAATCACTCAAACGATCACAGCCGCGCCCGTTGCCATCTGCAATTGCACCGCTCGCGTGCATTATCACTCTTGTAGACAAGTCGCCGAAGGAAGACGCAACCCAAAACGCGGATTCGTCAGTTTTTATTTGGTTATTAAACCTACGTCTATCTACGACAATGCGACGGGGTTACATGTCCCGTAAACATAAATAACAGCTCTACCCCACAACCCGCTGCAAGAGCTGCAGTGCAAGCTTCCACAGCGCACCGCGTGCTACCATGTCCGTGGAATATTTTTTTTTTATGTGTGGCAGACAGTGTGTTCCTGTGACCTTTATTTGTAATCCCTCTCCCTCATCTATGAAGCTTCAAACCCGTGTTGGCAAGGCTGTAACAACCCATGGCGTAGGTATGCATTTACAAGAGCTGTTTTTATTCGTATCTCGTTTCTAAATAATCTCCAATGGAATCACTGCATCGAAACAAACGCACATCTCCACCACGCCTATTACCACTATTTCTTACTTTTCAGTGCCACTTTGTCAACAGTGGATTCCCGTGGAGATGCAGGTACACCAATGGAATGTGGAATTTCCACCATTGGCTCGAAGTTACCGATGGAGATGCTCACCACCCCATGCTCATTTGAGCAGGCAGCCACCCGGAATATTAAATCTTCATTTCATTAAGTTTCACTGTACTCTTAATTAAATTATGCAGCTCGTCGCTGGCTTGTATAATGGACGTTGAAGACCTTATTGCATCGTCATTTTCAAGGGCAGGACATCGTGTTCTGAATCATGTCCACATTTCCAAACTTTTAAACTGCCGGTCAACTGGCATTTCATAACTCGCATAACTCAACTCGAATATAATTATAAATATCCAAAACAAGTCTCCTTTTCTCGGGACTCAAGCATCTCAATGAGTTCTGGCGTGGTTAAATAAGGGATATCTATCAGGCATGGCTTTGGGGCATGATGTTACGTGTGTGCTCCATCCACACTGCTCACGACATGGGTGTCTGGTAATTTACTGTTAGCCTGGGTATCTACTGGCTAAATTAATAAACAAAGCACTCTTACATGCACATATTGTGAGTCATCCCAAAGTGCTTGACAATATAAAAAAAAACAACTACAACTGTTATCTAGAATGTATGAGATTAAAAGGAGGAACGTACCACATTAAAATGACAGTGTTAAAAAGCCAAACCCAGACCAATTAAGCAACTAAATGTGTGCTATGAAGAAGTGCCATTGCCCAACATGTCACTTATTTTAAAATTTTCCATTTAAGGCAGCGTCATTGCCGAATGTACCTCGTATTGTACCTTACCTAGAATCGGCACTCTCTCCGTCACATGGGGACCGTGTTCGACAATCGTCTGCCGTGGCGCCGTGCGCGCGTAACAACTTCGTTTGCATTTCAATCGAGAAAAAACCTGGAACGTGGATAGCCGCGCTGCAGCGGGTCGCAAGGAATAGCGTTTGAGAAAGCCTGGTTTTACTCAAGAGGCACGCGGCACAACGAAGACCACCAACAAGGACACCTGGGGCACCCTCTTCGCAAAGCTGGCGGAGTGCCATTCAAGCTGGGCTCAGCGCTCCACCGTCACGCACGTGGAACGCAGAAACGCGTGGACGGAGCGCTCCGCCACGCCTAAATGTCACCTCCGCCAACTTGTGGCCATGTCTCCCCCCCCCCCCCCCCACATCGAGTTAACGGCTGCCTACAAACAACATATTTACGTTCTTCGTTTTTCCATGCGGAAATCTGCAGCTAGCAGTACATCACCCTGTGTCAGAGAATGACCCTGGAAGATGACATCAAATAACTATTTCTGATGTACCTTTAATTAGCCGACTTAATCCATACAAGTTTACCTTTTATATGCCTGACTACGAATGTCGTCAATCAAATCATTGTTTTAAGTCTTAGAACAGGAATTTAGTCAAATTAAGTGAATACCTGAATTCAATGTGATGCTTTTTGGTGTACTGCAAACGAGTCCATCAACTCACTACACTTGAGAACCTGGTTTGAGGTTTGAAGCTCAGACATGAACCCAGGATCTCAGCAGTACTCGCTCAGCATCTGTCCCAAGACACCTATTATTACAGGTGTTATAATAATAATGATACATGCAGTCAACTTCACAGTGGATGTTAAACATCCCCTGATGTAATTTGCAAGGTCCACATTTGCCACTTTCAAAAATTACCCATAAATTACTCAATTGGAGCTATATTCTGTCATTATATCCCCCTAACAGCAGACCATACATCAGCCACTCTTGCATATGAGAGTATTGTGGTCTCTTGAGAACTCCTCACCTGGATCAACAAAATAAACTTGAGACTTGGGTGCCATGGTGGCTAGGAGATGTTAACTACCTCACCCTGTAAAAAGGAGGTCGTAGGTTCGATCCCAACCCAGACGCCTGCTGTACATTTGGAGTTTGCGTGTTCTTCCTATGGTCGTGTGGATTTTTCTCCAGGTCCTCCGGTTTTCCCCTCCACATTTAGAATCAACATCACGCGTTTATCCATAAGAGGTTTTTTTGGGGTTAGATCACGTAAATATATAAAAGTGTCGTGAAAACCCACCACCATCTGACACAGCCGACTAGTAAGGGTTGTCACGTGAACAGAATATGCCAATTCGTCACTAGTACAGCACACCGGTGTGTTGGAGAGCCAAGCCACAACATTTACAATCTGAGTACGACGTTTCGCCAGTAATTAATAATTAGCCAGATTTGTGGAGAAGTCTGTTTCATTCTTTATATAGAGGCATATATGTGGTGACCACGCTTCTACGCTCTAGCGCCAAGTGTGGGGGGGGGGATTACTGAGTCAACGTACATTATGCATGTGCATTATGGAGTCCTTTGAACTTGTCCTTCCTATTTATTGCGTGTATTAAAATAGCTGTACCAACGGTAATCCTTATTGAAGTATGCTGCCCTATATAGGCATGCATTTGAATAATGTATTATTTGATGATTCGCTTCCACGCAGCACTAAGGCGGTAGCTATCCGAACTGTTAAAATAATTTGTATTTCTTTCAATTTCGACAGACTATCTAATTAGTCTTAGCCAGTAGTAGCTAGTTTTACAGAGAACTTCAACATTATCAAAATCAATTGAGTGTCCTTGTTGGCATGCGTGTTCTGCTACTGCTGACAGTTGTATTTGGGATAATTTAATATTTCTCTGATGTTCTTTTAGTCTCGTGATGATCATTTGTCCTGTTTGACCAACATAACATTTACCACACGTGCAGTTAATCCTGCACACACCTTCTGTTGATAGCTTCGGTAATACATCTTTTGTACCAAATATTAATTTCTGAATTTATGTACCGTGCCAAATCTAACTCGGATGTTTTGTTTTTCAAAACATCTGGCTAGTTTATCAGTTACGCCCGCAATGTACTGTATTTTGATCGTCTTAATTACTTGGGCAGTTTCAATGCTCTTGTTATTTTATTTGCTTTTGGCATTCAATGCCCTGTTGATTTGTGCATCATTGTAAGCGTTCATTTGCAGCACTTCTTTAACATGTTGAATTTCACTTCTCAGACTGTCACCATCTGACACTTTCTTAGCTCGATGAATGAGTGTCTTGATAAGAGCAGATTTCTGTGCGGGGTGATGGTGTGACTCTGCATTCAGATAGGCATTAGTATAAGTTTTCTTTCAGTAAACACTGTGTGTTATTTTTCCATTTCGACCCAATCCGAGCAGAATATCTAGAAATGGTAGCGTTTTGTCAGCTTTCACTTCCATGGAGAACTGGATAGATGGGTTTTGCGAGTTGAAATGATTGAGAAAAGCATTCAGCGTATCTTTGCGTGTGGCCCTAGACCACGCGTTTAGGGTATTTGGCTGCAATACCGTCCACGTGATGATAAGCCACTTCGTTGAGCTATCATTTGTTACAGCCAGGTCGCGTCTGAAAAAGAGCTACATATATCTCAGTGGGCCTTACCCTGGTAAAATAAAAAATAAAACGTTAGTACAGTTGAACAGCGCCGCACGTACCGTCGCTCTTACGGTAGACGGTGGCGACGGTGGCGACGCCGCTGGGGTCGGGCCTGCTTGGGCGCCTGCGGGCGAGCACGGCGCGGATGAAGCGTCGCTTCTTCTCGGCGTCGCCACACAGGAGGTCCTGCAGGTACTCCTCCAGCTCCTCGTCCTTCTCGATGGAGAGAATGTACCTGGACGCCACCGACCCCGCAGCGGAGGCTTACGGCGTGGACGGCTGTAAACGGCTCCCTCCAAATGTAATCGCAGCTCAAGAGTCAAAGCGATTTCTCCTCCTCAAATGAGCATTGACGCGGTAATCAATCTCCTTCGTGCAGTCCTGAGCCAGTAGTGGAAAATACACATTCCTGTGGCGGGGGTCTCTCCATGGGGCATTGCCACAAAGCGGTGCTAATTTTATCGACCCGAACAGGATGATGGGTTGAGTCAACCCCCAGCTAATATTTTAACTCGCAAACTTTCGATTTGCGAGCCGTTCCCTCTAGCGCTGTGCCATCTGGCCCGTTGTAATTACAGTTGCTAACTCCTGATCATCCGGGTGTGGGATATTCGGATTGCGAGTTAACAGGGCTATTTGCCGACTCTAGCGTTCCACACCAGTTTATTTTACTATTTACTAATTTAATTTTACCAGGTAAGGCTCACTGAGCTATAGAGCTCTCTTTCAGAAGCGACCTGGCCACAAATGATAGCTCAACGAAGTGGCTTGTCATGTAGAAAAACCAGAGGCCCCCGGAGAAAAATCCACGCTTCAACGGGGAGTGACATGCAAACTCAAAATATACAGCAGACATCTGGGTCGGGATCAAACCCACGACCTCCTGTTTCCTGGGCAAGGTAGTTAACATCTCCTAGCCACCGTGGTGATGAGAGAGAAAGACAAACTCCAAATATACAGGAAGTGGCAGGGTCGGGATCGAACCCACGACCTCCTGCATACCAGGCGAGGGAGTTAACATCTCATAGCCACCGTGGTGACGATGAGAGAGACGCAGACTCAAAATATACAGCAGACGTCAGGGTCGGGATCGAACCCACGACGTCCTGTATAACAGGAGAGGTAGTTAACATCTCCCCCTGCCCACGGCGCATGGAGATGGAGCGATGAAATCAAGCGTGGTGCGCCACGCTGGATCGTTCCCGTCGCGACACCGTACGAGGTAGCAAGACCGACTTGAGGAGGCTTTCATCTAGCAGTGGATTGATCGTGGCTGATGATGTCTATATAGATATGTTTGTATTCATGGGGGGGGGGGGGATCTTCAAATATATGACAGTGTCACAAACGCCACAGTTACAAGAGTGTCGTTAATGGGATTACAATTGCACGAGTCTCCTTTGAAGGGGACCCGAGGACACGTCCCTAGAAATGACGATGGCGGGTGCTTGAGGCTTAACGTTGATGTCATCGTGGGTGCTTGTGCCAGGCTAGGTGCACCCCGAGGGAACACGCCCGAGAGAATAACCACCGCGGAGACGGAGCGGTGAAATCGGCTCGTGCGTGCAGCAGCTGGACGGAATGCTCCGTGGCAAGGCCGCGAGAGGGCAGCAAAGCCCGGATTTCGGAGGCCTTCATCCAGCAGTGGATAAGATCGCGGCTGCTGGTGGTGGTGGTGGTTTCAAGGGGGCATTCACCTCAAGTCTTCCGTGCCGGTCTCAATGCCGAACTCATTCAGGAGCTGCTCCTGGCAGAACTGCGTCAACGCGGCGTCCATCGCGACCAATGCGCGCGAGTTTACAACTGTGATGGAACAGACAACAACAACACCACAAACAACAACACAAACAACAACGAATGCGAAACGCCCGCTCGAGCCAGGCGACGCCTTTAGCAGGCCTCAGCTGCGACCCCGGAAGTGGTTGAGTGGTGACCTTTCACCCCACACCCCGCGGTGGTGGTGGTGGGGGGGCGGGGCTCCAGACCGGAACACGTGGGCACGCCGGCCGGCCGGCGGCGCACGTGCTAACACGCTGGAGCATAATAAAGTATTACAGCATATTTGTTGCGCAACGGCTTCAGGTACATTTCGGGAATTCAGCTTGGTCCAATGTTGACAATTGCTTTTACTGCACCTCGCGGGCAGACAAAAGCGTGTCACCGGTACCGCGAGGCCTCCTACGCGTGCACGCGCGCGCGTAAACAAATTACCCCCCCCCAAAAAAAACAGCCGTTGCACCGATTGTTGCGTTGCTTTCGTGAGCCGTGTTACTCCGATGGAAATTATTGTGTGCTTGTCTTTCCCTAAAACGCAACACATTCGTCAATAACACTGCCTTAAAATAAAATCTACCAGTAGAATATATGCTGTTAAGGACCATTGCCCATCGCCTTTTTTATTGTTGCACCACTGCTAAATAATGTCAACACCATTGATCATAGGGGGGCACCATTTGGTGTCTCGGTTACCGACTCGCTCCACCACTTCTTGCCCGTCCTTCGCAGCCTTTTGTCACGTGCTTTACCGGGTCATCAGTCCCAGGTTATCTCATTTGTCATGCAGTTGATCTTGGGTCGCCCTCTCTGCCTACCACCATGTCCCTGTAATATGATCTTGTCACGTATCTAAATCATTGGGAGTTTTTCGGAGGTCGCTTCAGCGTCTGCTGTGAGCAGCTGCGGGATCTGGCGGAGCGCACAACGCGTGGGCGCGGTGCGATAATAGTGGTGGTGGCGGCAGGGCCGTATTATCAAATAGGGCACTGTGTCCAGGGCCTACTCATTCAACCACTCACCCAGCCACCCACTCACCCAGCCACCACCAGGGCCGTATGATTCAACAGGCCACAGTTGGCACTGTGCCAAGGGGCCTACGAAAAATAAAGGGCCTACGGAAAAAAATGTTTCGCCAACATATTCTTGAATAAATATATTTATATCACGTAGGCACATTGTATATACAAAGAATCAGTCATGTCAACCATAATAGAGGTTTTTGGGTTAGATCGCGTAAATATATAAATGTGTCGTTAAAACCCGCCACCACCCGACAGTCAACTAGTAATGGTTGTCACGGAAACAGAACAGATTGGTCGCGAAAGCCTACGTGTTAAAGTCATGTCGAATTTTAATCTTTTACTTCCCATAACGTGAGAGAAAATAACACCGGAGAGGAATTTTTCGAGATGTTTTTTCATTGCAAAATTAGCAATAACATCTTCAAATGGTGATTTTTCGCACAATCTCATTATCAATAGAGAGCAGTACAAGGGAAGACGGTCATTGTCATACGCGTGACGCAAGCGTGTGAAAGCGGCGGTAGTAGTAACATGGGGGGGTAGCAGTTGTCATTAAAGGCCTGGGGCTTACGAGAACCTTAATCCAGCCCTGGGTGGTGGTGGAGGCAACATCATCAGCACTGGGTTTGTGTTCTCACGCTTTTTTTTCTGAAAACGTATTAACCCCCACGATCTTGTTACGTTTTAATAGAGAACTTGTACAGTCGATTGACGAGGGAAGAGAACGATCCATCCGACAAACATTTTTACAACTTTATTTGTTGAAATAGGACACATCTAATAAAAAACGTGCCTTCAGGTGCAGTTTGCAGATTCTGCAATTTCAATTAAAGTGAAGCGTGTTCTTTGAGTTGTTTAAACAATTTAATTTAGGGACATGGCCTGTCTAAAATGTTGGATTTCCGATTTAAATAGCTTGAGCGTCATACTACTTAACTGCTGGTACCAAATGTATTCATATAACCCTTTGTCAAGTCACCGAGATGGATGAAAGCCTCCCCAAGCCACGTCAGTTATAGGGGTTGCTTGATCATACTTCCCTTCGCCGGTCAATGCTGGGTTGGCGATGGGACGCCAGTTCAGGTGTCACTCGCCACTGATGTTAGCCGGAGTTGACAAACTCAGGTCCCTGGATTCATAGGGCAGTGCGATGACCAATGTTCACCAGTGGTAACATTGCGGCACAATTTAGTTTGGATTAATAATGAAAATGTATGTACAGTTCTATTCGGTGAATTCACGTAGGTAAAAAACAAAACAAAAATCACGTTTCGGCCACAACACAAGTGGCCTTCATCAGGTGAAGGGGACCGTACTGTCACGAGGACAGCGTTGGAGTGAAGACAGTCCAGCCCAGGTCGCGTCCTTTTAAGCAACCTGGGCTGGACTGTCTTCACTCCAACGCTGTCCTCGTGACAGTACGGTCCCCTTCACCTGATGAAGGCCACTTGTGTTGTGACCGAAACGTCGTGATTTTTGTTGTATTTTTTACTTACGTGACTTTACCGAATAGAACCAAAGAGAATGTATGTACAGGTTTATGGATGAAAGGCTTTTCTGGTACTATTGAATTTTCGTTTTAAGTTTATTGAAAAAAATGCACGTTACCTTCGAATGCGTTTCCAAGGTGCTAAACGGACTGGCAGGATTGAGTCGTTTTTAATGAAGGTCGTGCTGCAACGCAACACACCATCTCCATCCAACTGTCCACATCCAGATGTTCAGGCACAGTTAAGGCTCTCCATGTACACATCAATATACAGGATCCTTGAAGACAGTAGGCCAAAACTGTCAAGGTCTGCCCTCTCATTGACAGTAACTAAAACCCTGTTGCTTTTAATAGCACCTCCGATTAGCACGGTTGGCTACGTACGGTGCGAAAGAAGTTTCAACGTGAATACAAGTAAAACCAAGGGGGAGTGGTCGAACAGCTGTTGGGAGCACCGCCCAATGAATCCAGCACGTCCTGGGTTGGATCACCAGTCTCGGCTTCACGTCAGTGGGAAACATCTGAACTAGTCCCCCGCCCTGCCATGCAAAGCAGCACCAATCAGTATGGTGCGGGTATGGTCAAACGACCGACATGGAATGAGGCCTTGATCAAGCAGAAGATTGACAATGGACCGAATATCATGGTTACTGCATACAGCTCTTAGTTTTGTACAAGTTGACTCAAGTTGTAAATTAACACCAAAAAATGAATTCTGTTGATACGCTGCACAAAGTGTAAACATTATACGGTGTGCGGATTAAAGTACAATGTGGACGAATGAGTAGTTTTATTGTAAACATCTTTTTTTAATTGATTTTAATGTAATGGAACAGTTCTACAGTATAATGCAACATCTTCGTATAGCAGCGCAATATACACACGTTTCCAAACGATTATAAAACCAAGAAAACAAACTTACCGTCTCTTGGCTACAATCAGAAATATGTCGCACCCCCTGATTTGCTTGTTGGCCGAGTGCTCTGACTATTTACCAACCAAAATAGGAGAAAGAAAGAAAACCCAAAATAAATCATTTACATTTTTTAAACTACAGTGATGTTGAAAAGCCTTGGTTTTGTCTTCGTACGCCACAACCGACACACACAATGATCCGCCAATAAGCATATGTAACTTAAACATGCAGCCAAGTTCCATACGATGTTCGTTGTATACAGGGATTCAACAGCAGTCACTTACACCCCCCACCTCCCTTCCCATGTCACTGAGTCTCTCCCACACCACCAACAGCCGCCACGCTGCCCTGCGTGGAGACCCACAGAGACGTTTCCATCCCATTGTCTTCTTTCCCCCATTGTCTTGAAGTTGCCAGCCACTTTTTGTAAAGGAAGATGTGTGAAGAATGTTATGTTTAAATAAATTCAACGTGTATCTTGTATCGTGGACTTATCAAAGATAAACTTGGTAACGTACCTTTTGTTCAGCCAGTTTCAATTGTTATTTTATTTCTGCTTTTTCAAAATGTTACTTCTCGTTCATGCGACCCTAACATCATAATTCTCATGTCAATTTAGCCACTTTTTTTTTTACACCGTGAGCAAAGACATTTCAGCCGGAGACAATTTGCCCACTTTTATCTACACGACGTATTTGGTCAAAATGTTATTAAAATGACAAACTAAAAAAAATTACGGACACAAAATGCACAGCACAAAACTTCACTATCCAGAAACTAGGGTTGTTAAAAATTAACTGGTTAAGCAACTTCTAAATGCCACGCCCCTTTAACAACACATGTAACGGACGTGCCAGATGTACTGCAATTACTGAACACAACCATCCTAAAGTGTTCAACTTAGACATTTTTGCATTTCTCTTTTTTAAAAAATTCAACTTTATTAATGCAATGTGAATGACAGCCCACAGTAAAGTATCCTCCTGCAACGCCTCTACTGCTAACATAGTGCAACAAACTGGGTTTTAGTACTCGCGTTAAAACCCGGTTCTCATACGGTGGTCACCGACACCACCCCAACTTGGTGCAAATGAACTCGCTCCAACCTGCGCCGGGCACTCAGAAACTTTTACAATTTTTTTTAAGAGGGGGGGGGGGCTCTGCCCCCTTCCCCCTCAAGGAAACAGTGGCTGAGGGGTCACGCGGGAGAGCCGGAGCCCGAGGCCGGCACCAAGAGTTCAACTAATAAAATTGCCCGAGTGCTCGGCACGGGATCGAGTTCCTTTGTACCACCAAGCCGGAGTGTGCTGGTGACTCCAACGTATGAAGAATCAGCAATTTAAGACCAGCAGTAGACGGGGAGAACAAGAAGTTGGCTCTAGAACCGGCCGTAAACCGAGCCCGAGGTTGCACGGTGACGACCGTTGGTTGGAGCAAGGTCTGCCCGACTCTTTGAATATTTTACGCGGCATGAAAAAAAAGTCAAGAAAAACAGGCGGCGTGAAGATGACGCTGGGTTTTCTGCACCGCTTCACATGCATGCCAGGACGACAGTGCTGCCAGGCACATCGAAAAAAAAAACAGTTGCTTACAAACATCGCCGGGTGTGATTGCGTGTTCCACTATAACCCGAGCCGGAGGGAGGGGGCACGTTATACCCTTCTTTACACAACAAAAGGTTTAAATAAAACTGTGACAAGTTCGTGGTGTCCTCCGCCAACATCGTAATTTACTCTCGTGCTTTCTGCAGCCTGTACTTTTCGTCTTCAGTTCAGAAACAAATTTCAGGAAAACGGAACGGCACAGCCAACAACTATAACACATTTGAAAAAGATTAAAATTAACAAAGGGGTGATGGGGGGGGGGAGTAGGGGCTGGGTCAGTGGGGGTGAGGAGTGGTGGATGGTACGGCAAAAGCAAAGATCACAAACAAAAGTAATGCAGAACGCTAGAAATTAGCTCAAAAGACACAACCCGTGGATCTCGCGTCAAGTTTCGGGTTGCTCACACGATAGCGATGGTCTAAGGTCCTATGGAAGGAGGTCACAAGCTGCGGTCCCGAGTCGGCAGGGTTTGGCCGAACCCCTGAACGTGGGACCAAACGACGCCTTTTTTTTTCGCCATCTTAAAATTATTTCAGTCTCTCCGCGTCCGTTTTCCGAGGAGGAGGAGCAGTGCCGATCGCTCTTCAGCACAAGTTAACATCAACCCACACATTTTATTTTTTCCGCACGGGGGGAAAAATAAACGAGTCAACTTGGAGTTTTTCATTTTCCCTTTTGTCCTTTTCACTTTGCCGCCTTCTCCCGTTCGGCAGGTTGGTCTTGAAGGATTTTCTAAGGCGTCTCGAGTGCGGTCCGTAGGTTTATTCCTATGCCCTGGGTCGGTCAACGCCTTTAATTTCTCTTTCCCGCGTCGCGAGCAAACTCGTGCGTCCGAGCGTCGCGTACACAACACCACCCCCCCCCCTCCTTCCAAAAACGACGAGTGAGGAAGTTCCAGAACGGCAAAGTCCAGTCCGGTTCTTGAAGACGGCCCCGTAGGCCCCCCGCGAGCGGGGCTTGGGGGGGGGGATGAGATGGCCTGGGCTGGCGGACGGCGGTGAAAGTGAAACGCACGTCCCACGGTGCGGGGCCGATGTCCGCAATCACTTGACTCGCTGGATCGATTTCTTCTTTCGCCTCTTGAAGAAGCAACAGCACCTGGGGAAGGGGAACAAGACGCAACAGTGCGGTTCTTTGTAAGGAAGATGTTAAGCAAGCCACGAATATCTCGTACCTTTACTTTTGGTTAATCGAGTGAGAACTCGAGAGACAAGGCTAGTCCTAATTTGCAAGAGCGAACTGTATTTTTACAGACACGTGTCTAGCAGATGCAACGATTAAACTCCTCCAATGATTCTACGGATCGTCACGATTTTCTGTCTTGTTTATGACGAGAGCATTTCACCCCTGCAGCCACTAGAGGTGCCTCACGCACCATAATGGTAGAACATTTAATATAGAATCGTGACTTCACGACTGGCGGGGCGGGGGTACAATTAATTGAATCGCTCGGCAGGCGTACGTACTTGGCAGAACCAGGCCACCGCATCATTGTCGGCAGTGCCGAGTACTCTCTCCACGCAGTCTGCTCGGAGGGGAGTCCTCCAGATCGTGCGTTTCAGGCTGCACTTGTACACATTTACGGCTGTGCGGGGCTGCATCTTGTAATAAGTCATTCGTCATAACCAGGGTCTTAATTTATCACTGGATATTTTCCGGGTTGCTGGCAGACTGGAGCAGGCTCAAGAGGCGGGATGTGACCACAAGCGCAGCCATATAGGGCATTGGCGTGGCTTAGCGGTAGCAGGGTTCGCTCCTTTTCTGCAGAGGTTCACGGTTGGGAATCCAGCGGCAGCCCCGTGAATTACCGTGAGTGTCATAACCACAACAACGTACGCCACTGCTTCCTTCACGGTGGATAAAAACAAAATTAACTTAATTATACAAGCAAGATATACACAGTTGCTGTGGTGTACCGGGTGTGGAAATATTTGCTGGGTTGCCAAAGCGGGACAAATTGAAGCCTTGGTCATAAACATATTCCACAAAATAACAATTCTGGCATGGGTGGCACATCCCAGGTGGGAAAGGCTGATTGAGGGGCAGGCGGTAGAGGGAGAGCTGGAGGGAGGGGAGGGGAAGGAAATAGTAAAGGGGGGGAGGAAAGAGTATAGGGGAGGATGCAAAGCGGGGTGGAGATGGAGGGGGGGCCCACTTGGTCTCGTCCACCATCTCAGGCTCGGGCTGTGCGGTGATGGGCGCGTTGGAATGTCCCGCCGTCGGGTCGTCTGTATTCAGCTCCCCGTTCGTGGAGCTCACCACCTGCACCAGGGTCCAACCCGATGGGAATCGGGCAGGAAGGGTTGTTGGGAAGTGGATGGTGCGCGCGTGGGTATGCACGTGCGTGCGCACGTTTGAGTGCGTTCGTGTGTGTTTTTGTGCGAGTGTAGAGTTTGCGTGGTTGCACGCGTGCCCGCATGTGGGAGTGGATATTTGCGTGTGTTTATGTCGGTGGGTGGGTGCGTGAGCAGTAATGGCGAGAGAGGATCGAGGCACACCTTTGAGGAACAACATAAAACAACTGCTCGCCCAACAAAACGAGAACATTGCCCTGGGGGGGGGGGGGGGTGACAAACAGCTGCTCAACCAATCTGCAGGGCTTTTACCCAACGAGGAAACTTTACATTTCTTGTTGCCAAAAGGAAACGCGGTGGTCCACGGCTGTACGGCAACGAGTCGGGGGGGCCCGACTCGAGCCGCGAGCACATTTGTCACACACTGTACACAGAAACGGCGTGAACTTCCTCGTGGACGACTATTTTTAGCTACCTGTGTCTGCGATGCGGCGGCGACGCGCGCCCGAGACAAACCGGTTTTCCCGGAGACCTCCCCACCTGCACATCGCCCCCCCCCCCCCGCCACAAGCCCAATGGCAGGGCAAGTGCTGACGCAGGGCGCCACGCGACCCTGGGGGCGTTGCTGCTGTCGCTAAACTTGACCTCGCGGGCAGCTGGTTAGGAGAAGGGGAGGGGAAACCACCCGCTTTGTTTTGACGGCTGGCTGGAATTGTCGGAAATTTCTCCCGCTCGCCTCTGTAAAGTGACGTGAGCAAGGATCGATGGCGTTCGCGCCCTGGACGAACAACTCGTCGTCGACGTGACGTCGCGATGCAATGGACGGCGCGGCTGCCCTACGCCCGGGAAGGACGACGCCTCGAGCGCCTTGGCACCCAGATTATTATTTTTTTATTCATGCCGAGTTGCAGGTTCAACTTCATCGTGCCGAAGAGGCAAATTCGTGACAACTGACCGAATCCATATTTCATTATTTTACTGGTTTTGCCGCCGCAAGCTGAATACAATTACGAGAAATCCTTCTGCGGGCGTGGACCCCGTCATGAGACTCCCACCTGTGCAGGCCAGGCAGCTGAAACATCAACCGCCCTGACTTTCTCCCAGCGGCATTAAACTTAATACTCCCCCCCCCCCTCCACTGCCACCCCCTCCAATTCCTATCAGCTGTCACCACGGTCACTCTTCCATCACCCATGCCGATGATAGCGTAATCATTTAGCATCGCGGTTTTTAAAAGCAAGCGTGGGGCGAGATTAAACTTTCTGTGGGTGCTCGTAACCTTAACTCTGCACTTAAAAATAACACGAGGAGGAGGAGGTGGTGGCGGCGGCGGTGGGGGGACTCGTGTCTACGGCCCGGCGGTGGCTGCGCCCCACTAGCGCGGCGTTTATTCGCGGCCGCCCTCCCATTATAGCGCGGAGAGGACGCGAGAGCGGAGCCAGGCGCACACGCCGACACGCGTGCCCCGCCACGCTCGCGGCGCAGTGAGCACCACGTAAGCAGGTTACAGGATTAGCCACCGCGCACCGGGGGATTTCCCACTGGAGGGCCGCGAGAGGAGTGGGGGGAGGAGGAGTTTGGTTGGGGTGGGATAGAAATTGAAGGGAAAGGGTGGAGCAAATAATAGAATAAAATAAACGCCAGCTCAAAAAAAAGTGCGGCTGGCGTGGAGAGATGGGGGGGGGGGGGGGTGGAGGCGCACGGACCCTCGAGGGGCAACCGCGTGAGCTCCGAGCCACCGCCGCGCGTGTCCTGTCCGCCCCCCCACCACCAACACCCCCAGTGTGCCGCCCGTGGCAGCTGCCATCGGCCGCCCGGCGCCTAAAACCGCAGCACCAGATTGGATCAAGCCTGGGCGTGAGAGGAGCTGCGTTGTCGGGCCGCGACATCTTATCGGCCAATTTAAATCAAAAGAGCCGCACAGAATTTAACATTTGAAATGTTTACCGACGTAATTGTGTTACGTTGTCAGTTGCTCGTATGACATTCATTTTCAAGTGCTACCCGAAGTTATCTTTACTTTTGCCGCACGGAATACTTCATGCCGAGTAATTCGAAGCCAAGAATATATTATGAGACACTGTGGTCATGGCTTTCACTCGGTCAGCACAGGGGTCGGTAACGAGCGGCACATTCGGTGGTGACCGACGCTCAGGGTCTCAGAACACTGGGATGCAGGGCGGTTTCATTTGCAGGCAAGGTCTAAGGCTTCATTATCAGCTGCTCAAAATACAGTTTTATAGACTCTTAGAATTCCTGGACAGAGCACGTCCGGGTCAAACCAACTTGGGTTACGTGGCCACACAGCAGCCCTCTGTCCGGTCCACCTGCAGCCGTGCGTTTTTGCACCTTCCCCCACTGCATGTACGTCCCCCCCCCCCCCCCGCTGCTGCTGCGCTTTCCGGAACGGCAAACGCCGGCGCGCATCCCCAGTGTTCCACGACCCTCAACGCTCCCCTCCGGCGGCGCAGCGCAAAGCGATGGCATGCAGCAGCAGTGGCAGTAAGCGACAGCGGAGAGAGAGAGATGAGAGGATCCCCCGAGGTTTGAGCACGATGTGGGGGGGGGGGGTCAAGGGGAAGAGAGGCGAGGGTAAAAGCGGGGGAGGGAGGGGGGGCTGGTACCTGCGTGGAACCCCCGTGCCTGTCAGCTGCCAGCTGTGCAGCCAAGTGCAAAGTGTTTGACTGTCGGCTAGGCTGGGATTCTCGCGATCCCTTGTGCTCTGGGGGCTGGCGTTTTTTGCAAGCGTGCGAGAAGAGGAAGGGACAAAAAAAAAACAAGGAACAAAAAAAGATACGAGAAAAAAATAAAAAATAAAACAGGCGAGGTGCATCCGATGAGCTGTGAATGTCACTTTCATGCGAAGCAGCAAGTCGATTAGTGGCGTTGTTAGTGATCGTAAGTTGGCGCGAGAGCACACACGGGCCTGGAACGTAAAGTTGGCAGAGCAATCGTCTCTGACCAGTGGTGAGCTCGAGCGAAGCTCGCATGCAAAACTCAATCGCAAAGGAAACGCGAGCAAGCTGCCAAACTTGTTTTTGCAACCTGCGCATTATAAGGTTCCTATGTATAGGACGACCTATAGGCAACATTACCTTCACAAAAAATATACAATTTCAAAACAAATATTCACGCTAATACCCAGACTGACAACAAAAACAACCAACAAAAAGTATATGTAGATTCATACCCTGTACTATAAAGTCCAGAAATGGTCATTCCTGTTCGGCGTATTTATTTTCCGTAATGTGTTGATTACTGCACAGTATTATGACTGTCTAGGATGTACATTTCATAGCATTAATCCATTAAACCATTTGAAGTCACAAATTCCCTGTCATGGCCCCAAACAAAAACTCATCTGAAATTCGCCAAACGTCAGACCGTAAAACCCTCTGGTTATCTGGTACAAACTCATCGCTTCATCCAATTTGTGACGCAGCCATAATCCCCGCGGGACAATTAGTAAACGCTATTTATAATCCTTTTATAAAAACGCTGTTCGCAGGCAGTACGCCCCACACGTTTCTTAGCAAATTGACACCGGAATAATCAATATTTAATGTCATCGATAAATCAATAAGCTTTATTTAGAGCACGGCGACAAGCCCGCTGCCGACACTCGAGTCTCTTCGGCCTGGGTAACACACGCAGGAAGGCGATAACAGCTCCCGCAAGATGACCGGGAGCGTTGGCACGACAGCGGCGTGCATCTGCACTTCAAACACGTACACGTGTCCGGCCGAGGGCAGTGCGGAAAGATCCATTGTTCTACTGTGCTACATTCCAACGTCTATGCGTTCCAAGCCAGCCCCTGATATCTCCCGTCTATACGAACGACATTCACGGAAGCGACGACGCTACGACGATGAACCGTTTCCACGACAACGCAGCCATTGGCGGGCAACGGCGTGAGGCGGTGGTGAAATCTGTGGGGGGGGGGTGGCGGGCGGTGCGGGTGGTGGTGGTGAGGAGACGGCGGTGGAGGCGGTGCGGCACACGGTACCTGTGTCTTGGGCACGGGCTGCGGGCGGCTCGACGGGGGCACTGCCGATGGGTCCGCGTGGATGGAGGCGATGGGCGTGGGCTGTGCGGGACAGACACGCATGCACTTTCACATTCCTCGCTGTTCGCGAGCACCTACGACCCTGAAATATCGATTTTCGTAGCCAATACAGGATGATCCATATTTGTATTTGCGTTGGTAGTTTAATGCCCTCCACCACCCAACAAGAATGTCACGTTTACAAAGATATTGATAAGTGCCAATCTAATGATCAAACTATGACCAATAATGCATCTCCTCGTCACCGGTGGCTTAATACTTTCCATGAATGCAACTATAAAGCCCGACACGGCCCGCGAGGGGGTAGTGTAGCCAGCACCACACCTGACTGCATCAGTCTCCCCAGTGCTGTTCATTTCACAGCGCATTACGTGCACATTTAAGGCCGGGTCAATCTAGTGGAGGCTCAGGACCGGTTCAGACAACAGCCACCGATGTTGGCCGTAACTGGGAATCGAACTCAGGTTGCCAGCTTCGTAGTGCAAACAAAACCCCTGCGGGCCCGCCCGGCGAGGGGAGATCCTCATCCAGCAGTGGATAAACGACTGTACACGTGCAAACTATAACATAATCACCCATTCGCTCGCTCACTCACGGCTACACCCCAAACAAATAACCGACGCGTCCGCCGTCCTTACGAGCGTTTTGCCGGTCCAGTCGTAGTTGTAGTCGAACGTGTAGCCCTTGCGCTCAAACAGGTCCATGAACAGCTTGCGCAGATACTCGTAATCGGGCTTCTCGAAAAAGTCGAGCCTCCTTACGTACCGCAGGTACGTGGCCATCTCCTCTGTGGCACGCACACACACACACAAGTTGAGCGCGTGAGAATTACGCGGCGACGTGCGTATCCGTCGTGTTGCGCAAGCATCATTGCCGCCCGCTGTCCGTGATTTGTCTCCAACTCTCAACTGTTTGTGCGGTGTTCGACTCGAGACGGAAACGTTAAGTAACGACTGTAAGCATAACCATCATGTCTTCGTTGGAGCCTTTGCGCTGTAAAAACGGCGCGAACATCAAATGTACCGGCTGATATTATTTAGTTTGCAAGCACGTGTGCGTCGTGGACACTGTGTACACCTGTGCGTCATAAAGCTATGGCAATTCTGTAGGCATCGAACGGAATTGGCAATGTCGACGCGTATGACTAATACAAGTGCCCGTCATAGGACATCGATGCTGATGGCATGCGTCACGCCACACTGGCATTGTGTACGTGCCTCGCTGTGCAGTCGTCACTTTGTACACGTGAATTGCGTAATGTGAGAGTACAATGCAAATTTATTTATGCGGCGTCTAAATGCAACTGCAAATTAATATTTTTCTACAGTCATTACTATGTTTGTTTACCTGGGAAGGCCTCACCGAGTCTCAAGACTCTCTTAACAGGAGGATCCTGCAAGGTGTTCCCAGTAGGGGGTGATGTTGCAACGTGTAATCCAAATTGAGTAATTTGCAGGTAACGATTCAGTGTTGGGATGTTTGTGCAATACCAGCCACATTATACATATTCATATTTTATCTATGAAACCGGAGAAGCTGGTGGAAGACCATGCAGAACAGGGGGAAGAACATATGAACTCCAGAGTAAAGGCGCGAGAGTCGGGAATTGAACCCAGGACATTCTTGTTGCAAGGCACAAGTGCTACCGCTGGCGCCACCCTGCCACCAAACTCAGTGGGAAACGTTGTTTTTTTTTCTTCTTCTTCAAGGCAGCCGCCCAAATTCGGAGACTTCTCACTTGTGGGACTCACCGGGGAAGCTTTCGCAGAGGACCTCGATGGGAGTGGCTCGCTTGGTGTCGCCAATCTTCTGGTACCGCTCCTTCAGGGTGTCAGCCTGTGGGGCAGCAACAAAGATAAAGACCCCCCCGCCCCGTATAGCATTTAACAGACTCTGTTGGGGCAAGTGCTGTTTGCGAGTCGCACCTATGAAGACCGGCACAGCGCACGAGGGGGGTGGTGGTGTGGCTAGCACCACGCCCCGGCCACCTTGGTCTCCGCAGTGGCGATGTCATTTACACACCGCGCCAGGTACTCGTATATGGCCGAGTCGACGTAGGGCAGGCCCAGGACCGGTTCAGATATTCGTCACGCATGTTGGCCGTGAGCGGGAATCGAACTCGGCTCGCACCAGGTTCGTAGTGTAGCACGCTAACCGCTGCACTACCGCTGGGGAGCAATGCACATAACCACGTGGATTGCGGAGGGTTTGCGGAGGGACCGAACAGCGAAATTTCACAAACACCAACGGCAAATTGTCTCTTCTGTGCTCAAACTGACATAGGGAGGTGGCTCATCCGCATCGGCGGTTCCAAGAAAATGGTGGAAATTTCTAATTCCTATGGCTCGACCCAGACCCTCCCAAGGACAATCGCTGTTCATATATTTAATCAACTCTGGGATTTATGGGCTGTGATGGCAAGGGAACTCACAATCTTCCGATTGCCGTGTCGAGTACTATGCTGCTGCAGCACCACCCAGCTGAGAGAGATATAATACTTTATATGCCCAAGATAAACTCAGCGAGTCTCAAGGTTGGTTGCATTCTTACAAAAGCCATGTACATGAAGACCATTGCTCAAAGACTGTATATCTCCACCCCTTATTTTTAAATAGCACTTCTCACAATCGACACTTTAAGAGCACTCCGTCTGTGCAGTCGAGACAGGCAGCGGCAGCAGCAAAAGGTTACCAACAGAATTTGGCGATGGGTAATTTGAAGAATTTTGAGCACGTCACGGCAAAAAATGGTCTATTTTTGAGAATGGCGGTGATGATGTCACGGCGTCTTTGTTGGCAGACTGCAGTTACACGGTAACTCACAAATTACCGGGTAGCTAGAATGGAAATAGAACCTTCGACTGCGCAAACTAGCACGGTCATAAATGCAATCATAAGTGAGTTTTTTATGGCTACCAGTTCGAATCAATGACCATCATTAATTCTATTTATCACAATTGCAGCAAGGTTCTATCACAGCCAAAATGCATGGGTAGGGTGGGGGGGGGTTGGCGGAAATTTGACTCGGGTGACAAAATCTGTTGTCACGCTGCTGAAAGCCAGCACGTGCGCACACACCGTCACTCACCACCACTCACCTTGAGACCCTGCCAAGGCAAGCTGCCTCGCAGGAAGTACATGAACATGTGACCAAGTGCTTCCAGGTCATCTCGCCTGCTTTGCTCTGAGGAAAGAAGAGTGGTGGAGGTGAGCGCATGGTTTGCCTGCATCGGCCGCGTTTCGTCTTCACACGCCCACGCCCACCCCCGACCCCCCCCAAAGGCGAGGCATTAACGTACCCCGGCAAGTGACACCGCGCTGGGCGAAACGTACTGAGTGCAACGATGCGTTTTTTTTTCTTCTTCGTAAACCGAATCTACGCAACGTGTTACGTCTCTTGCTCGCACCGCATCGTCCCGACTGGCAATGGCACACAGTGTTTCCAACCGTCACCATTCGCTCGGCGAGATTTTATATCGCGGCGGTGCAGTCCAACCCAACACTCAGTCAATTCGCGTACGCTGCATCGCTAACGAGCACACGAGCATTTGCTCCTCCCACTACACTCCCACCAGCAACCCCATCACCAGCCCACCCAGACAAATGGTCCGTTAAAATATCACGATTCAATTCTTGATCAAGAATCACACCGTGACACGGCACTATCTACAGAGTGGAGACTGAGAGGATGCGAAGGGGCCAGAGAAGCGGAGAACTTGTACAGCGGAAGAGACGGCAGCAGCGAGAAAATCAGAGAGAATGGGAGGAGGCCGCGACTGGACCGGAGCAACGAAGGCCACGTAAATAATGGGGGAGCAAATGGAATTGGGGTGGGGGAGGGAGGCCGAGCAGTGGGAGATTACAAAGGCTGGCCACAGCAACACAATCTTATTCGAGCGTTGATGGTTTTTGTATTGTAGGAGCTGCAAGGTTACAAGTTGAGAGGTGTCCTCGAAAAATCTTAATAGCCCAAAAATGTTAATGTCCAGAGATAATTCTTCTGTTGAGAGTGGGTGGATTTAGTCGATGAAAAAAATCTAATTATTAAGTGCATTGTGCGACCATCTGGGAAGAGATGAGTTCAGAAAAAAGCTATTAAAGAAAGTGTGTTCCCTTGAGGCTCACACTGGTAATTCTCAAATACATGTGGGTTATCAAGTTTTTTTAAGACACCCTGCATGTATCAATTATAAACATATCAACAGTAGCATCAGCCATGATCAATCCACTGCTGGATGGAAAACCTCCCACCCCACCCCCGACCCACCCCCAAAACGAATATAATCGATGCATGTATCAGGAGCAAAAGAATACATTTTAATCCACGAATCTCGGCATCATTATGTGTGTTAACTGCCAACGTCACCGACACGAACGATGTATGATATTAGCCAAAAATGGCCCGCTTCTTCCGCACCAGGCTTCACGCTTGCCACGGAATCCTGCCCATTGCACAATCCCTGGCCACCGCCCTCGTCAATAAACTCACACCACCGGTGGTGACATGAAAGTCACTCCTCCCCCCTTACTGCAGCCAAACTGGAGGAGGAGGAGGATGATCTCTTATCAAACAATTCCTGTTGCATTTCATCAAAGCCCGGTGGTGGGTGCGCAGCCGTCCGTTCCTGCTGCCCGCGTTTATTCACGGCCGCGCTCGCTCTGCCAGCCACTCAAGGGTCCGTACAACAATGCGAAAAAGGTTCTAAAAATAAACCTGCGACCGACCTGCGCATGTCGCCTGCCGACGTGCATCCATTGTGTAGCGTTGGCGAGTTACATCTCGAGTCCGCGAGTGGCCTTATTTTAGGATTCCATAACTGCGCTGGCGCCATCTCCGCGAGTTTTTTTTTTTGTAAACGTGCTCGTGGACAACAATACATTGCGCCGCGCGCGGTGCCGGGCTGCCTAACTAACGCTGGGTCGGGCTCCACCGAGCCTGTGCATCGATCGACTGATCCCACTCAATTTTAACTTTTGACTCAAGCGGGGAAAAGTGGGCGGTGAAATGTTGAAGGTGATAAGTTAGGATGACTTGGATAATGTGGATTTGAAGAGTTAAACCGTTTACATAATAACCCAGCGCTGGTGTCAGCAGTTTTTAAACACAAAATATACAACAATGAGAAACAGTGCTGTATATTTCCCAGCCTTCAGCGATATAGTAAACATTTTTGTCACACACACAAAGATCAACTGTTCATCATGCTTTTCCTTACACATCACAGACTGTTACCAAGCACCCAATAAACCGACACACACAAGAGGGGGTGGGGTGGTGTTGTCAGCACCACACTCAGCTGCCTTTGTTTCCCAAGTGCTGACATTTACACACCACACCAGATATACTCTGAATGAGGAGTCAGCCCAAGGGATGTTCCTATTTCACTCATCACTGACATTGGCCTGATTTTATTGGTGCCGTGTCCAGTGATGTCCCCTTGCGCACATTCCCTCCTTTGACTGCCAGTCCAACATTAGTCTTGACCACCTGCCATAATCCCTTCTTGCCACATGTCCTGCTCAAGCCAACTTACTTTTTGAACAGTCAACAGGAAACCTTTAACTTTTGTACGATCTCTAATCCACGTGTTTCTCACTTTGCCTCTCAATATGAATGCAAGAGCGCACCCCTCCGTGCTTCTTAGTGCACCTAGCAGTTTTTGCGCCAAATTGTTTTCATCAAGATGCCATTAGCGAGCACCTGTAAGATGTACATTTCACACCAACCAGCCAAGTGGCGACACAACCCAACCACGTGGCAATAAACGGGCGGTCAGTAAGTCAGTCGCTCACCCGCTCACACACACACACGAGCAGGTACGGGCACGCACGCACGCACGCAAGCGGACCCTCACCTTTGCCCAGGTGCGTGTTGATGCTCATGTAGCGCGCGGTGCCCGTGAGGCTCTTGTGCTCGCGGTAGGGGATGTGCTTTTTGGTCTCGGGGTCGATGTACTCCTTGGCGAGGCCGAAGTCGATGATGTGGATGTTGTGGTGCTTGCTCGTGCCCTGCCGTCCCACCAGGAAGTTCTCGGGCTTCACGTCGCGGTAGATGAGGCTGCGCGAGTGCACGTACTCCATGCGGCTGATCTGAGGGCGTTGGTGCCACAGGGAAACCGCGTCGGACATTTAAACGGCAAGGCTGTCTACTTTTTTTTAATCTATCACGTCTCGCGGCAAAAATACCAGGGGCTGGGTTTGAACCTGTTCTCAAAAAGGTTACGTGCATTATGCTGTAGGTATTAGCTAATCCAATGCCACAAGGTGCTTCATGAATACTTGAAATGTGCGCTCTTTTTTGTCTCAATGTTTAAGCGACACACGTCACTCGACGCACCTGTAATTGACTCAAACTTACAATGTCCAAAGGATTCATCAGAATGTGTAATTAACAAGCTTGGGTTTCGTCTGCTGCCGATGAAGACATTATTACAGAAGACATAGGTTGTTTTTCCGACAACAGACCCATCAGTCCGTAGTAACATCACCCGAGCAAAGTTAACACACCGGCCACCAAGTCAATACAAAAAAAAATACTTGGCAAACACGCACAACCACATTCATGACCTTTAAATGCTGCCTTCCCTAATTCAAAGTCAAATGGTGAAACATTATTTTTGCTCAAACAAGCAATGGGGTGGGGGGAGTAAACTTCCTATAATTTCAGTGGTGGAAATTCCACATGCACATGGCAGGGCCAGTTCTTCCACTGGATAACCACTGGGGTGAAGAACTGGATAACAGTTTAATGAGAAGTTCTTACAATTGTCCATGTACAACGATATCCTATCCTTGCTTATGGCAAGATGGTTCAGGAGCTAAATGCAAACGTTTAAGTCTGCTGGCCACGACGAGAGGGCTTCAGGAGAGAGTTAGTGTCGTTTTGCTGCTCCTCCTCCTCCTCCGCCGTCAAAACAGCACAGACAAGAATGTTTTGCGGCGTGATCGGTAGTTTTGGTCGCGCGGCCACAGTCACACTACTCGGGGATGTGCGCCGCAGGCCTGTTGATGCAACGATGCGCACGCAACGATGCGCTAACCGCAGCACTGCACCTCCTCCCTCTCAGCAGAGGCGATCGCCCAGCGTGACGCAATCCCGGCCGAGGAGGAGTGGCGTCCGTGACGCACAGGGAAAACGAATAGCGCCTTGGAAATAATATATAATTGTGTGGCCCAGAGGCTGCGCAGTTAGAATAACAAAAACCATAAAAAGCCAATGGCATGCTTTTGGATTTCAAAACACGCCAAGTGTGGGGAGTTTTAATTTTCTTTCGCATGGCCTTTAAAACTCTGACAAACCTCGAAGGAGCAGAGTCAGGGCCAACAGAGCAAGAGGTACAGTAGGGGCATATGATAGGGGCTTTATTGGCTAACAAGAGTCAAAACATAATCTGTGAGTTTGGTCCAAAGTTTAATAGATGAGAAAGATAGGATGAAGACGACAAAAGAGCAGGGGTGGATGGAGCAGCAGGTGAAGGCGACGAGAGTCAAAATCTCTCAGTGGTAAACTACAAGAGCAGACTTTTGGGGTCAAGTGACAATTGCCGAACGGCTGCGGTGGCAAGGTGTGGTAAAACGAATGGAATGGGCCAATCTTGTATTTATAAAGAAGTTTGTCTTTTTCGCAAAATTATTCTCAATCGTACCGTCAGCACCGTGTCTTTGGACAAAGGCATTTCCACTCAGAACTCCGCTAGAGCAGGGCATCGCCCCGTGTTAGAAAACAGCCCGCAGAAGGGGTTATCAAAGAACTACATCTGAACTCCCTTCGAGTGATCTCTGATGCAGGTTAGGAATTCTGCACTTTCCACGCACCTCATTGTACAGCTGTCTGTAACATGGCAGTAATAACAAAACGTATCATTCTCAGAGCTGTAATTTTGCCAAATTCAGTTAAAAAACGCATTTTATACGATAGGGTATTTTTTTTAATCAAGTCAATGGTGACCAGGCTGCATAAATCAACCCATTACACTTGACAATTCAGTTGAATGAAGGGTGGTTGAAAGACTAGCTTTGAACCCAGGATGTCAGGATCTTGGCATTGCTGAGATCCTTGGTCTGAAACCTGGAATCAAACCCCGCATCTCAGCAATACTAGCTTGATGCTCCGACTTCTGAACTATGTGGCCATATGGGAGTGGGGTGGGGGGCACGCGAGAGGTACTGCCATTTCATTCGGGGGGCGCTGCCCCCCCCCCATCACCACGTCCAGCACACTCACCAACTGCATGGCGATCATGAGCACCGTCTTGAGGGAGAAGGTGCGGTCGCACAGGTCAAACAGGTCCTCCAGGCTGGGCCCCAGCAGCTCCAGCACCATGGCGTTGTATTTGCCGCACGGCCCAAAGTAGTACACCTGGGGGACACCCTCTGCAGAGAACGATACAGACACCACCCAAGTTAAGCCTCGTATCAATCGGGGATGAAGCGCTGTTAGAGCGCGCTCGTTTTAGGGCCAGCAAATGGTGAATGAACGAACACGAATCAGGGACGTCGTACTGACACATACAAGCAAACGTGGGCTCGGGTGGGGCAAGTCGCTCGACGGGACAATGGCGGCTGGATGGGACTGGTGACAAACGACAGCCAACGAAGAGAACTCATTCCCGATAGGACGACCCAGCGTGGAGATGGAGCGACAAGATCACTTCATGTCCAGGGGTGGAGACGGAGGGGTGCGGTGATGGTTCATGAGGGATGGCGATGGAGTGTGGAGGCCTTCATCACAACAGTGGAAAATGGCTGACGATAATGATGACAACGACGATGGAGTGGCTGGCCCATATCTCGACAGTGCTGAGGTGCATAACACCACCAGGCAGTCATTTGATGGCAAGTTACCCTAAGGGAAATGTAAGATTGTTCAGACACCACCTGTCGCTGACAATGCCCGTGGCCTGGAATTAAACTCTGGTTGCCAAACCTTACCGTGGCACAGTGCAAATCTCTCCACAAAAAGCAACAAATGCAAAGATCCCCCGTGAAGCCTTCAACAGGCTGTTGAGGCAAGTGCTGCGAGTGGGGACCTATTAAGGCAGCGCAGTGCAGTTGTTCACACACTGCATCAGACATACATATACGTAAAAAAGGCAAGTCAGCCTCGGGGAAAGACCAAGGCCAGTATAGATACCATTACCATTCGATATTAACTGTGATCAGAAATTGGCCAGGTTCGCAGCACAGCGCGCTAAACCATTACACCACCGACTCCCTACAAACAGCAATGCACTCAGTCCACACACCAACACACCCTGGGGTCAGCGGGACCCCTAGCAGGCGTGCATGGAAGCAAGGGGTCGGGGGCCTCCCAACAGAGGTCAGCCTCTTTGGAATGGCCGCAGCAGCTGCGTGGGATTTCTGTTTGTTTGCTCGTCAAGACTTTACTTTCGCTTGCGGTCAGCAGGAAGCGGCGCTTGGGAGGTCAAAATGAGGAGGCAGACAAGGCACGTAAACACAGCCGGGGTTCACACAGATGGACAGGCACACACACGCAGCACTGGGGGTTGCCCCAAAGTGGCTGGGTTGCCCTTCGGGAGTCCTCCCAAGCAATGGGCCGGCGTGCAAACAAACAAAAACAGGGCACCGGGTCAACAGACGGGACCAACACACCAAACATAAATTATGCTGAAATCGGGTTTTGTTGGGAGGGCCTAGTGACAGGAGAGTACGATCTGGACGGAGTAGACGAAAAATGGTTCGGTGTTGGCAAGTCAGTGGCGACAACTTTTTCACGAGAAAATGCAAGATCAGGATCAGAATATCTATTTACACTGGAGGAATCCGGTGAGCTATGAAGCTCTTTTTCACAGATGTCCAGCGGGTTTCACAGATGTCCAGTAAAAATATGGAAACCCAGTCACTGTTCCCCTGCTCAAGTGAGTAATGGTGCAGCACTCAACCTCTGTTGATGACGACCCTGGCCCTCCAATGACTGCTGCTGCTCCCCAACAGCCGATTATATCCACCCCAGAGGGATAATGAAAATAACAGTGCCCTTTATATATACGCACACACATGCAGTGTGTATGAGCCTCGCATATTTTTCAGCATTGGAAGATTCGGCTAATTCCATTAACTAGGGTTTGACGTGCCAGGAAATCAGCGTACGGGAAGAAAACAGACAGATAAGAGGGATAACCACTTAGAGCTCAGCACAGATGGACTCGATAATCCATTGCTTGTACCGTCATCTACTTGCAGTCAAGTTGGTTTGAGTTTCACAAATAAGCTAAGTCGACCCCCAACTGGGGAATTAACCTTCTGATCGCGAGTGGAACACTCTAGACACAGTCACACCTGGAGTGTTGCAAGATCAAGATAATAAAATATCTTCGAATGGCCAAAAATATCTAGCTTCATCACAACAAATTCATAGATTTCCACACACACACTTCAAAGACAATGATCTCCTAATCAGCCAGCCTGGCAAACAAAGTATTGTTGATATCTATATTTCCAGCTGGGTAAAAACCATGAGATAGAAAAGCCCATTTAAATCTAAAGTTCACTGCTCACAAAGATCTCAGCAATGTATTTTTTACATTAAAAACAAAGTGTACTATTTTTCACCACTGCTACAAATTAAGTCCATCGAGGCGCTTATATGCCCAATGCTTTAGTGTTTCGAAAATAAAAAGTTTACATTACGCTTCGGCAATCTTCGCTGAACTGTACAGTTTGTACGCTTGCAAACGTTGAAGAAGATGAAAGACCACGAACTTGCAAACGCTAAATTTCTCTGGAAATGCAAAACGCTGGGTACGGAGGGAAAACCTTTCACCTGGCGAGGCTGTCGCGCTCTCCACTGCCCACAAACACTTCCCAGGACGACATTTGATAACCGTGCGACAACGCTTTGATCTGTCGACTACGATCGATTATTATTGTGCTCACGACTCGCACATCAAATTGCGAGGGGCGGGAATCCGTTATTTACTCATTTGCACAAATTATTATATTGCCGGACCGTGAGAGATGGCAACGGCTTGGGGATTGGATCATGGCTGATGATAATGATGACTTGTAAAGGATAACTTACGTACATTTTTGGCGAATGGCCCAAATAATATAGTACGTGGTAGAAAATTTATTGGGGGAAAAATACAAACGAGATGATAAACATGAGATGCAAAAGGAATTGAACTGTGACCCAGAATCGTGACAACATTTAGCAAATAACTGGGGGGGGGAGTGAAGGTGCAGGCAGGGTAAATCATTTTCCGAATATAAATTGAGATGCAAGCAGAGGCACATACAAAGACCCCTCATATAGCCTGAAAAGACTGTTGGTGCAAGTGCTGTTAGCGAGCACTGATGAAGGCTGGCACGGCGCGCGAGGGGGTGGGTGGCCAGCACCACGCCCGACCTTTTCTCTCTAGTGGCGATGTTTACAGACCGCACCAGGTACTTATTTGAGGCCGAGTCGACCTAGGGAAGGCCCAGGACCGACTCAGATAATCGTCACTGGTGACTAGTGGCCGTGAGCAGGAATTGAACTCGGGTTGCCGGGTTCATAGTGCAGCGCGCTAACTGATACACTACCGCTCCCCACAGGGGCACACAAAGATCCCTCGTATAGCCTTGACAGACTGTAGGGGCAAGTGCTGTTAGCGACCACCTATGAAGGCCAGAATGGTACGAGGGGGTGGGTGGCCAGCACCACGCCCGACCGCCTTCGTCTCCCTAGTGGCGATGTTTACACACTGCACCAGGTACTCATTTGAGTCGACCTAGGAGAGGTCCAGGACCGGTTCAGATAATCGTCACCGGTGTTGGCCGTGAGCGGGAATCGAAACCAGATCGCCGGGTTCATAGTGCAGCGCGCTAACCGCTACACTACCGCTCCCCACAGGGGCACATAGACACACACAGATACACTCCGCATGGCACATAGACATGAAAGCGCCCTCTCCACTCACACTGGGGCACCTGAATAAGGTCTGACACCTCCCAACATCACTGCAGTGTTTTCTTTTCATCTATTTTTTTAATATGCTCTTTTTCCCTTTCATTTATAATGTACTTATGTGTCATCCGGTTATCCTTGTGTATACCCAAAAGCTCTTTCCGGGTAATAAAGATATCAGATTCTACCTACGATGCTCATGGATAAACGTAACCAATATAAAGATATAAAGTAACCGATATAAAGATGCATTTTCAGACCGGAATGAGTGTGCTCGTTCAGATTGATGGGGAGTAAAATTTTAGAATGTGCTAAATTACTGAGGCTACTGGCCTACTTGTACAGATGTTGTTATGAGCATGGGCAAACCAGTTTTCCCCCCCATACCAACCAAAAATACACAGTAAGGAATTGTAAACATCCCCAGAAAACACACCTTCTGAAAAAACAACTTGAGACTCACTCCATGCTTTCTTTGACAAAGGACTTTCATTTATCATCATCACATCATCATCAGCCATGACGATCGTTTATCAATAACCATTATTAAGCCACTGCTGGATGAAGGCCTCAACAATCAGTCTCCATCTCCGACAAATCTGTCATGCAACAATAGAATGCAGCAACTGCGCGCGTGCTCATTTCATCGCTCGATCTCCACAGTGGACGCACGCTCGGGCACGTTGCCCTTACTTGGAAAATAATTCGTACTGCACAAAACGTATCGTCTGCTGTCACTGCAGATGATGGGCAATAGCAAATTGTTTTTTTTTATTAACCCTTTCCCATTCCTATGGCTGTACACACACCACTGCTGTGCCACGCACATGCCCGTCATCAGTTTTTCTTCCGATTCCGTTCCGATGACGTTCACGTAAGAAAAAAGGCCATGCGGGAGGGCGTGCGGCACAGTTTGGCGCCAACTATCGTAGAGTGAGGTCATGCCGCTACAGTTCTGTGAGGTGAGTTACGATGTCTTTTCAAACAGCGGCGCGCTATGCATCCGTGAGTAAAGTTAGCGCTACTAAACCGCTCGCGCGCTCCGAGATTCGACGGTGGCTGGGACCCCACCCCGCAACTTGCAGAAGTCTCAGAACGGGAAAAGGTCAATTGGTTAAGTAAGGATACATGCAACGGGGTCGGTGTATAACCACAACGAAAGTGTCATCGTTTTATTGTCAGTGGAGGATGAAAAAAAGAGCCGCGTCTCTTTACTTATTCATCGCTGTTATTATTGTTTATCCAACAGGACCATTTTTTTTTTTTCGCCTGGAGTCGCGACGACGCTGTAACCGTCACGCAGGCCACTGCCACCGCTGCCCGGGTGGGCACTGCGCATGAAAAACAACACCGCAGATCCTGGAAAACCTGCAGCCTGGCCCGGAATAGTCGCGGTCGTGCCAGCCACACACCAACGCTGGGCCGTCAGAGGCACTTTGATAACACACTTGCGTGCATTCGGTAC